TGTAAATTGGGTTGATTTCATTAATAAGTTCTTTGAGTTTGATTAAACCATTTAGCAAAATAATAAAGATGTAATAGTTCTACATTTCATTTATAAGATAAAAATTCAAAAGATATTCAATGAAAGATAATTCAGTTATCTTTTTGTTTTTTTCACCACACGGAGAAATGGTTTATTTAAAAAAAAAATCAGATATGTATATCAAGCAGACAGCAACCCTTTAACTACTCCGAGATTATTCTAACGTCCCATTAGGCCCTAAACAAGTACTTAAAACAGGCTGTCAGATGTCAGAGCAATCTGAGACTATCCTATGACAAAATCAACCAAAAGACATCTACTTTCATTTATTAATTATAAAAACACAAAGAAAGTAATATTCTGCAAAGCACTTGTCCTTTTCTGCAAGTTTTTTGTCATAAACAACAGATATTATGAAATCAATGAGCAGTTATAAAACAATTTATGATGCATTAGTTTTAGTAATTAAACCTGCAGCATTATAAGAAAAAGGTGGTTAAATTTGTGTGATGGAACTTTGGGAACTACAGCTAGAGATTAACTAAGCTTAATACAAATTAGTATGTTACTATCACAGTCGGATTCTAATGTGGTTAAAATGCTGAAATTGAATTGCATGCACTTAGGTATAAAGCAGGAGCACTAAGCTTTCATTTATTAACCATACTTGACATTAAGTCATTGCGTTTCTTAAATAGAATATATAATATCCTGGGGCTTATTCATTACTTCATCTAACCAAGCAGTGAAATTGATGATATAAAAAGGAAATCATGCAGCAAAATTAATTGTGTAATATTTCATACTTAACTAAATCATAAGCTTAGAAATGTCATCAGACTGAGGAAAGCTTGTGTAATAGGATTTATTTTTGATCTAACCTATTTTATCCATTATGTGATGCATATTTAGTATGAATTACGGCAAAATTACACTTGAGTAAGATGTGTGGTAAACTTACAGAAATGGCAGGTACCCTTTAGATATGTTAGAGTCCAAAGAAAAAGATTTAATTGTCAATAACTACCGGGGTAATTCTTTTTCGTTGGTTTCTCGTGGGCAGCAGCTTTATTAGATTATTCAGTTGCTTAAACAAGAAATTCAAGCAGTTCTGAAACAAATAAAGATGACTGAAATGAATAGATAATTTATTTGTTTTTTTCTTATGTGTGTGTGTATGTTTGTTTGATTATTTTGTAACTCTTTGTTATATTTTGTGAGGGCCTCAGGGAAGATTAGTTTTATAGCTTACACGGCCGAACAATGTTACCCGCTTTTAATAAATAAAGAATTATTATTATTATTATTGTGGTCATATTTAAGTTGAACACACATTTTAATTGATTTCAACGGCTAAATGTTTCAATAGATTTAAATATGGTTACATTGACCGATACTCACATCTCATACCTCTTTGACATATGTATACTAAAATCATATTCATGAAATATTTTCCTATACAATGATAATTTTCCCATATCTGCAGTACTTGTAAACCAGCTAAAATCACTTTAAGTTATTGCCTCAACAATAAGAGGATATTTACACTTGAGTTTTAACATCCTATAATTATCAGGAATTGGGACACTTCTCTTAAACCGTTATAAAATATTACAATATTTGCCAAAGACTTAAACACAAATCTCGTTTAATATCAGTTTAGGGTTTTATTAGTTATTTTAAGAGAAGAAAACAATGTTATATTTCTTCCTTTTTGTTCAGAATTGTATAATGATTGGACACTTAGACAATTCATTAAAAGAAAGATTGAATCTTGTAGCTTATAAAAAATACAAGGAAATGTAATTTCCCATAAGTGAGCCTTCATCTGCTACAGGAAAATAGACCTTGAAAAATCTTATTGCCACATCAAAATTGTCAATAACAAGAAAAACAACTGACTGAAAACTAATCTTAAATGTTAACAACTTGGTTATTGTAAAATATTTGTTGTTCAAGCACTAATTTTTGTTTACATTTTGATGTTAAATTTCTCAATGATTGCAGATTTAACTAACTATTTTTGTTCAATCAAAATGAAGCTATTTAGAAGCATTATAAGCGGTTGAGTTAAGTGGAAATAAGTATAATATATCAAACAAGACAGCCGTTCTAAAATAGAAGTGGCAACATCCTTATATGTGTAAGTCATTTGAAATGGGAAAAAAAGTATTGTGAATATCCAGCCCCAAAAAATTTTGATTATTCTTAACCAAAATATTCAAAGTTTAGAACCTTGATAGAATTTATAGGTTCACCTGGGATCAAACATGTTTGTCTAGTACATTCAACAAAATATAAAACGTATATTATTCCCTTTTACAATACACAGTAACAGTTCTGCCAACTGTTAATAATGCAAATGCGTGAGATTTGGCCAAAATCGTAAAGATCAAAGAGAAAAAACAATAGATCAAAGGAAAATGCCGCAAATAAGCATGAAAATGCGTGAGTCTCACCCTAAATGCGTGAGACTTGGCAGCCCTGCAGTAACTTGTTGCATTTACTAATGCATATTCCTACAGTAAATGGGGTCCTGGGTGGCAGAGTGGTCTAAGTAATATATCTACAATGATCACGTATTAATACCCTGTCAATAATGAGGTTGCGAGTTCTAACCCACTCACATCAAAGTGTGTTTGACTCTGATCTCTGATAAATATAAATAAGAAGATGTGGTATGAGTGTCAATGAGATAACTCTCCATCCAAGTCACAATGTATAAAAAGTTAACAATTATAGGTCAAAGTACGGCCTTCAACACGCATCCTTGGCTCCCACGGAACAGCAAGCTATAAAGGGCCCCAAAATGACTAGTGTAAAACAATTCAAACAGGGGAAAACTAACAGTCTAATCTATATAAAACAAGAAAACGAGAAACACTTATAAACCACACCAACAAATGACAACCACTGAACAACAGGCTCCTGACTTAGGACAGGTGCATCAAAGATGCAGTGGGTTTAAACGTTTTAACAGGTGCCAACCTTCACCCTAACCTGAGATAGTAGTGAAACATTACAACATAAAAAGACACACTATCAAATATCAATTGAAAGATTGCCAGTTTTCAGTAAACGTTGTGGTTCTATAAGGGTACTTCTGCTTCCTCCGCCAATGAAAGGTGGCTACCATAATATAGCTTAGAGTGCTGAAAGTGGCATTCAACACCAACAATCCATCAATCAATCCCACAGTAATGCAAAACTGGCTTGAAGCCAAATAACAGTTTTCCTTTTTGCTCACCATTAGATGAAAAGTACAAATACAGTTAGTAAGTGTAAATTCATGCTTTACATGTTAAAATAAATCTTTCTTTCATCTTTTTTTTGTAATTATGAAGCCATTTGATGTATAATTTTTCCAAACTTTCACCATGAAAATGAGATTTAAATTTGTACTTAATACTTTGGGTACTGGTACATGTCGTACATCATAAGTTTTAAAATTTTAGTTTGAAAAGAACTTTGTGTGCTAAAGGAGACTTGAATACTGACAATTCACCATATACTTTGGATATATATTGTATGATGTATGCACTGAGAAATTAAGTTTCTGTTTTTATACATTAATACTTGGAACTTTTAAAAATTGTTACATCCCCAGATTTTAAAATTGATTTTACTAGATGGTGAGATAAGATTTTGAATAGAAATAGCTTCCTGCATTATCATTTGATAGCCAGTATCTCATGTGGAACAATCAAGTGTATGTGTACCAACACTTTCAGTCATCATGAATCAGTTGACTGAGTACTATTTGTGAAACATTTGTAAACTGGAGATATATATTGGATTAGTATCGAAGAAAAAAGTACATTCCTAGGGATAAGATTATTAAGGGAATTCATGTAGACTATAAAATGGATTTTTTTTCTCAGAATGAAAGTATTAACCTATAAAGTGTATATAATTGGAGCCTAATCACTCCATAGCATGTTTTTCTGAAAAGATAATGGTACTGGTCAATTCTTATTTTGCATTTATTGTGTTTTAATAGTATGGTAATTAGGTAACTGTTAAATGTTCACAACTGATGTATGTATCTATGTATCTTCCGATATAAAAATAAGGTGAAATGGTTAGTGGTGTAAATTCTTTTCCGTAAAATCAATGCACATGCATGAGCCAATTTTAATTTAAAATAGTTATCACAGAAAATTGTTAGTTATAGTGATATTTAAGGATGTTCGCTCCTCTTGTTTTTGATTTTTTGTCAGATATTCGGAATCCTCTGGTTTTGTCCATGTTTTTACATTAAGAAATTTTGTTCACTAACCCCTACTTTTCTTTTCATAATTTTATTACATATAGTTTAAAAAGCCATATTTGAAAATCTTATAAAATCCTTGTTATTTTTTCAATGTTTTTGAAAGAAAAAAGGTGCCAATGTTAAATGTATGAAAAATCTAGAGAGAATCATTTCCCACCAAATTTTCAATGGCTTATATCTCGAAAACAAGCACGCGGAGTCACGGACCCTTCATTTTTTTCTGCTTTTTTAGTTCCTTCATTTGTATACTGTCAATTTATGACAGTTTTTCAAAAAGCTTGTTATTTTGAAACAGGCCGAGTAGCGAACATCCCTAATATGAAAAAAAGAAGATGTGGGTATACATCAATAAGACAGCAACCCAATAACCAAAAAAAAAAAAATTTGAGTGTAACAGAAAATCTTCAACCATAGAAAGGTGTCAACAAGTCGAGCTGTAAGTGTTTTGTTTAGTCCAGATTGAAAACAACAATAAAGGTACTGTTCCAATAGTACAAGGTTATAATAGACCAATCTAAAGTTGTTTTTTATGAATGAGTAACCCTGAGTTAAAACAAAGTAAATGAAATCATTGAGAGATCAGTTCTTACTGTGACATAATAACATAAGCATTGTGACATAGGAAATATACAGGAAAATGAAGGAATTTCAAAGTCATCTACATATAGCGTTTTTAATCATAAAGAAATTTTATAATTCATTACAGAATGTGACATATTATTCATACAGAGGAAGATTTTCTGAGTCCACGACTTTAGTAACAGTGAGGAAGGGTAGTATTGTACCGCGAGGTAAACAGACATGGCAACGAGAACTAATCAGCATTCCTACAGCTCCACCATCACATCTGAGAGGGTGTAAAATTATAGATGTCCAATATAGTATAGAGGTAACCACTATAAGCCATTTACAATATCCTCTTAAACGAGCATGCTACATTTTAGTAATTTGTAATTATGTATGAATTCCCTACCAGACTTAATTGACTTTTTAAGATGTTTGTACATTAAAAAGCCATTCAAACTATTTGTAAAACATTACATCTGCAATCAATTTCATCATTTTTGTAGGTATAATTCATTCTAAAAATTTAAGCCTTTCAATAATACTATTGTTGTGTAGTTTTTTGAGAGTGAGAGTTATTAGGAAGAGGGGGACAAAACTAATCTTCTTTGAAATTGTGAGTGAAATTTCTTATGAACATTCAGTTGTTGCTTTCATCATCTTTGACATTATCATTATTATCCAATTTATATTTTACATGAAAATAAAGGGTAGGTGTACAAAGGTAAAAATAAGAAACACCTGGAATTAACGATGTATCAAAAGCCTTCATGATGTCTTTCTTCTATATGATGAAAAAACCATAAATCAAGAACAAGAGAGACATCATAAGGCTGCAGGAGTTATCTCCCATTGTGTGTATTCTGCCTATTTCTTACTTACGGTTGATAATCATTACATAAGTGCAAGCAGTACATGTAATTTGGTATGTATATTTGTATTAATTGCGCGTTAATTTTATTTTAGCTGTGTATCAAGCCATCAGGATTTGCCAGGAAAGTGAAACTCCCTGTAGACATTTTAATAGGAACTGTTCCATTATCAGACACTACAATAAAAAAATCGTCGTATCATCCGTTGCCATCTAATGTAGAGGAAAAGAGTATTCCTTACCCTTTCTTTGAAAATCCGTCAGATAAAGTATATCTTACAGATATGGGATATTTACAACACATGTTACCCACAGCACCACCGTGGGAGGAAGATGCAGATATCCCCTGACCAACAAGGTAATTGTAAAAAAGTTGTATTTATGTCTCCTCCATTAAATGCATCTCATCCGGCTTTTAGATAATAAAGAAACTAAGGTTTCAACTCCCTCAGACAAAGTTGACCTTAGATGTATTTGGCTATTTTTTTAGGTCAGCTCTTCAACTGTTTCGGTTCTTATACATCCTTGACTTTCAAATATGCGGCTTTGAGCGTTCCTGATGAAGGTAAATCCAGAAAATCACTTTGGATGCATGAAATTTATAACCTGCTGTTTTCTTATTTATTAGCACACCCCAACCCAAGGGGTAAAGGGGGGATTCAGACCCCCCTCCCCTCCCCTCCCCTCCCCCGACCTCAACTCTGTAGATTTGTTACAGATTTTAAGACATCACATATCTACAGAATTTACATGTGAAATTATATACTCACACAATCTTTTAATTTTCATTTCAGATATATAAACATTTCGACTTGACAAATGTCTCATTACTACAGAAGAAAAATCCATGTCATTAAAAGCATGTCATTGTGAGGAAGGATTGACACAGAACTAATGGTCCAATACTAACACATCATAGTACTTTGTCGTGGGATTGTACATCAAAGAATACAGAATCACGATTTGTTTTGATTACAATCTCTGTGTTCATGTATCTTGGTTCACTACATACATATTTCATATTAAGCTTTTGTCATTGCAAGTTTTTTTCTGCAATAAATAGCAAAAACTTTATTTTACAGACTGTGTTTCAGAGACTTGGACTCTAAAAAGTTTCCATTTATAATGTAATGTAATGAAATGATAGATAATGAAACGTTTTCCATAGTGTGTATATAAAACTGTGTTGGGCAATATTTTGTGTAGTACATGTACAAGTACGGATGGATAAACATGTATTTCTATGTAGTTTTAGTCCAATGATTTTCAAAATTCTTGACACTTAATTAATAATAATAAATAAGAATGGCATTTCCACTCAAGACTAGAATGGCATATTTTTTTTACCATTGTACCAATTATCTTAAAAGCTTTAATGTTTGTTTTATATATGAACTCAGTTGTGCTACTTGAAATTAAAAAAAAACTTTATTTGAAAGAAATGATGAATATGTGTTCATGTAGTGAAGTATACTAGATTAATCAGGTTATTTTATTCTTCTTCAAAACTAAATCACCATCAGGATTATGGGTAATTCAATTGTTCTTACCTCAAAAGGGAAAAGAACATGGCATCATTTAATGAATATCTATTGTTTGTGACATGTAAAACAAGCACAAAAGTTTTGGTATATTTTTTTTCTGTATATTCTCAGAATTGCATAAACTAAAGTGTTAGCTGACTAAAAATAAAGGTCATACTGTTTTGTCAACAGCCAGTTTTTTTTGTTAAAGAAATTTGGTAGTTTTTACTATTAAAACTCTTGTTAAATATTTTATGCAGCAGAAGTGTTTCTATGATACGGTTACAGACAGGCCTTGTCAAGAGCTATCCAAATTGTCTGAAATAAACGTTCTTTAAAGTTACAGAAAGCCCTGCTGTAAATATTAAAACTGTTTAATGTAAATAGTTGTTTTTGTTGGAGTTAATTCTTGTTAATTTTATGTTGTAAATTATCAATGAAGTTCAAATCAGCTGTGATATAATGCCAAATATAGTAACTAATGTAGTTGTCATGTGATCGTCACATGGTCTTCTTTTGAAGCATAATATATAAGTGCTTATGTGTTCAGTCAGTTTTGTTTTGTATGTTTAGTTGTAAAATGAACGTTTCTTTTGTTGAAAGATAAGTTTTCCATATAAAAGTATATTTTATGTCTTTAAAACTTGAAAAATCTTCAGTTTCGAATTTTATTTGTTATTTTAATTACTAGTAATGTAACTTTTAAATCTAAAAGTGAAATTTCATTCATCAATCTCTTTTAACATATCAATAATCCATAATTAAGAGCTATTAAGATTTAGCTGGTTTAGATTGAATTGGTTTAATTGTTTGTAATACATTGATAATGAATGCCATGTATGCGTAGTTATAAGTGACCTTTTAGGTCTTGCAGCTACTTCTACCAACTAATATACATTCTTCAAATAATGTCTAAATAGAATATTGACTGCTTATTATGTAGATGTTATATATCTGTAAATGTTTATTTCTGTAAACAGCAGGTTATTTTTAAATGGTATTACAAATTTTAACAAATATTTTATTAGACTAAACAATTTTATTCCTTTTTTTTTTTACTTTAAGTGCATGTAAAATATCTGGATGCATAGATATTTATGCCAGAAATTGAGGATGAATCTGAATGTGTTAATAACTCTTTTTATTAACAGTTTGAAAAGTGGAAAACTCTTACAGTTATCTCAGTTTCTTCAATTAATTAGATATTAAGAACCGACTTAGTTGTAATGAACGTTTTTGCCGATGTATTTTTGCTTTTAAAACAATCTTCATTCACTTAATAGTGAAAAGCCTAAGCAACTTTACAGTATACATATACTTTTAAAGATAATGTGCGTGTAAATGTAAACAAATCAGTCCTACAATAAACGGTTAATATAACTGGAATGAGAAGTCTATTGTTTTGATGAAGCTCAGCATTAGGATTGTTTACTTCAAGAATAATCTAATATGAAATAAACAATGATGTACAAGAATTCTATTGTTTTGATGAAGGACAGCATTACGAAGCTTTATTTCAAGAATAATCTAATATGAAATATACAATGATGTACAAATTACAACGAAATTACAATGTATCATAGATTTATGATAAGTAGCTTAACAAGTTGAAAATATCTATTAAATGGAGGGTACTTTAGTGTTCAAGTTAGACACGTGTATGTCATATTTGACCAAGGATCTCCAGTAAAATTGTTCTATAAAATATCAATAACATAATACCACCAGGCTTCATTAGAAAAATAATAATAAATTGGGTATCCAAGAACCAGATTTAAAATATAATGACTTTCACTTGTTGAAAATAGCCTGCTGCTATATATATAGTACTGCTTGTATAAAGTACTAGCAAATGTTTTATGTAACAACTAGTCCATGTGTCTTCCATATATAGTTGACAAATCAAAAGAAACAGAGAACTGGAAATGTTTACACCAGAAAATACTGGTTTTCAATGTCATAACTTTACAAGAGTCCTGGAAAGTTTTAAAACCTTTATAGTTGGAATATGATTATAAACCTACAAAACCTTATTGTATTTGTCAAACAATTTTCTGTATAAAACTAATATCAAGAATTGGTCATAAATAATTTACGTAACATAATGTGAAATATTCTAGTGTTCGGAATAGTGTTAGAACTGGTGTCTGTATATTGATAGTTTTAATGCCAGTTTTATTCAGTGTAAGCCTACATATCTCATCATATACATTACATGACACATTAATCTGTTAGTTTCATCCTGACAGGTTATTCATCCCATTAAATTCTTGTTTTATTCAAGAACCATAACTCTTGAGTTGTTAATATTATGTCTGTTTCATTGTATGTCATTACTTGTAATGCAATATGATATGTTCAGATATGGTCAAATAAAATAATTTATATTGTATTCTGTTATTTTTAAGTATTTATACTGCCTCTGGATCAGATGAAAAAATAAGGCAGAAGATACAAATGGGGACATTCAAAACGCATAGGTTTAGAGAAACTCACAATGCCATGGCTAAAAAATGAAAAAAATGATATAGGACGAACAAAATCATCAAACACCACTGTAACAATCAACTGATCAATGTAAAAGCAACCAAAAACCTAAGGATAAACTTGAGTGCTGCAGAAGGTAAATATCTCCTGCTCCACTGGTGGTTACTGTCATGTTGCACATTGCAAGTATACACTGGGTGATGTTGTAAATGAGAAAAAGAGTACACAATTGTTTCTGCAAGTAGGACATTACCATCTCACCACAGACATTTCATAACAGTTTACCAAATTATGCTGGCATTTTAAAAGTTTTTGAAGAGATATCTTCAGCTTTGCCATTTAAAACCCTTTATTCAATAGTCTAAAAAAAGAATCCTTCATGGTGGTGTAGGGTGAGCAGGCATAGAAAATAGTGTACCTAATATGTGCATCAACTCCTACAGTTTTTAACCCTCGTCTCTGAAACGTCACAGAAAGGTTGCACACTTGATGAAGGTGTGTACCTGCTATTATGGAATTGTTTGATCATTTTTTCAACTTCAATTATGGAGTTGTTATAAAGATTTTTTCCCATTGAAACTTCCAAAACAAATGAAATTCAATCCATGATGTGACGTTATTTTAATTTTGAGTTTACAAACTTTTGTAATTATAATCCATAGTCCTTTAGATTCTGAAACGGAAAAATGTAACTTCTTACTTGTTAAGATCTAGATGACATACAAGTACCTACTCCTGATAACCATAAAAACATTTCTAGCAAAATCAAATTAGCCCTGTATCCAGTAGGCTTTCCTAATAAACATTGGTTACCCACACTAAAAAGATAGATACAATTATTCAATTATTTTTAATAAGATACAAAAATAAATAAGATATCACAAAACTTAACAGTCAGGATTTTGTAAAAAATAATCCATGAACAAAGCATTGAATTACAAACACCAACTGTTACTTCCAAGGTCATACAAAGTCAATGTGACAAGTATAAGAATGTCAGATGTTACTTTGAATAAATAAATTGAACATTTTTGGCCTTAGTCTTAGTCTATGTTGAAACTCCCATCTACAAACATGACTGGCAGTATTTTACATGTAACTCCGTATCAAGAGCTAAATCAGATATATTTTTTTGACTGTTCTATATCAGTTCAACATAACTAGAAACTATTAACAGCTTCAGCTTCTCTCACTTTATGATTATGAATGAATAACAAGTATAGCTGTATAGTTATAAGACTAGTGCTATCATGGTCAACATTAATATTTCTCAGTCATCTTCTTCATCAGAACTAGATATATCATCCTTCATCACAGCAGATGTAAGCGACTTCAGATCTTCTAACACTGAGGTAATTGGTTCATCTGAAGAAAAAAAACATCTCTTCAGTGATTTAATTAAAAAAAATAATGATTTCATTAACAGATAAGCTGCATTTTTGTTTATATTTCATTGAAACATTAATTTGTAAATTGAAATACACCAATTGATATTTGCTAAATAATAAATCTACTATAGAATTATTTGATTAAAAGTATTTTATCTTTTTTTTTATTTTTAAATGTTATCAAGAAATTTGCCATCCCCCAAGATCACATAAACTTCAATACCTTTAACAGGGGGAGATAACTCTGGTTATTTCATTTTTCAAAAATTTTATTTTTTATATTTTCATCAAAAATTGTCATCCTAAAATAGCACACACATATACAATGTTTAGAAGATTTTTGGGGTTGTTTGTTTTGTTTTTTGGAAGACAAGATTTTTAAAATCCCATAGTTTGCAATGACTGCAATGACGCAACGCAACGCCTTACGCAGGGGACAATAATCTGACATTTAAATATTGAAAAAAAGATAAATGATAATTCTAAAGTATTTGGACAAATTCCTTTCAACCATACCTTTAACAGGTGGAGATAACTCTAGTTTACTTGGTAGTGATATTTCTGGTTCTTGAGATTCTGCTGATTCATCAAACTGGACTGGTTCCCCTCTGGCATTCTTAACTCTCCCTATTAATCCTTCTTGCCTTAATGTAGCCTGAAAACATGCAAGTACAAATTTTACTTTGAAATATTCAATAACTAGAAAATTTGCTCTTCATATATTTTTACTTTTTCATAAATATATCTTAAAAATATAAAATTAAATCATACTACTGTCCGTGTTACTTTTGTAAATGTGTTATTCTGATATTAATCATAAAAATGTTTATCAGTTATACAGGTATTGTATTACTTTTCTAATATTTGCATTTTGGGGGGTTTGCAGGGAAACAGTTGTTGATATCTACATTTAGTTTCATTTCAAATTGTTATAAATTTATAAATTTTAGTGGAAATATTAAATAAATATGTACAATTGTTATCATCTCTTCCAAGTGAATTTGAATCTTGATCAGACTTTCAAGTCCTTAAAAAAAACCATCAAGAGGCTTTAACATCAAAGTATAGGCATCAGGTCTTTAGGTAGACCAGGGCAGCCTCAGTCTGACTCAACAGGTTGAAATCTTTTTAATAACATTTGTTTGCCCCCTCCCCTCTTTGGTTTCATGATTCCAATCTCTACCTTCTACTTACCATCATAAGATTTCTCTCCGACTCCACAGTCTGTAGTCTCTGTTCTCCCCTCTTTGGTTTCATGATTCCAATCTCTACCTGATACTTACCATCATAAGATTTCTCTCCGACTCCACAGTCTGTAGTCTCTGTTCTCCCCTCTTTGGTTTCATGATTCCAATCTCTACCTTCTACTAACCATCATAAGATTTCTCTCAGACTCCACAGTCTGTAGTCTCTGTTCTCCCCTCTTTGGTTTCATGATTCCCATCTCTACCTTATACTTACCATCATAAGATTTCTCTCCGACTCCACAGTCTGTAGTCTCTGTTCTCCCCTCTTTGGTTTCATGATTCCAATCTCTACCTTATACTTACCATCATAAGATTTCTCTCCGACTCCACAGTCTGTAGTCTCTGTTCTCCCCTCTTTGGTTTCATGATTCCAATCTCTACCTGATACTTACCATCATAAGATTTCTCTCCGACTCCACAGTCTGTAGTCTCTGTTCTCCCCTCTTTGGTTTCATGATTCCAATCTCTACCTTATACTTACCATCATAAGATTTCTCTCCGACTCCACAGTCTGTAGTCTCTGTTCTCCCCTCTTTGGTTTCATGATTCCAATCTCTACCTTATACTTACCATCATAAGATTTCTCTCCGACTCCATAGTCTGTAGTCTCTGTTCTCCCCTCTTTGGTTTCATGATTCCAATCTCTACCTGATACTTACCATCATAAGATTTCTCTCTGACTCCACAGTCTGTAGTCTCTGTTCTCCCCTCTTTGGTTTCATGATTCCAATCTCTACCTGATACTTACCATCATAAGATTTCTCTCTGACTCCACAGTCTGTAGTATCTGTTCTCCCCTCTTTGGTTTCATGATTCCAATCTCTACCTGATACTTACCATCATAAGATTTCTCTCCGACTCCACAGTCTGTAGTCTCTGTTCTCCCCTCTTTGGTTTCATGATTCCAATCTCTACCTTATACTTACCATCATAAGATTTCTCTCAGACTCCACAGTCTGTAGTCTCTGTTCTCCCCTCTTTGGTTTCATGATTCCCATCTCTACCTGATACTTACCATCATAAGATTTCTCTCCGACTCCACAGTCTGTAGTCTCTGTTCTCCCCTCTTTGGTTTCATGATTCCAATCTCTACCTGATACTTACCATCATAAGATTTCTCTCCGACTCCACAGTCTGTAGTCTCTGTTCTCCCCTCTTTGGTTTCATGATTCCAATCTCTACCTTCTACTTACCATCATAAGATTTCTCTCCGACTCCACAGTCTGTAGTCTCTGTTGTATCCCTTCTATTTGTCTTGTATAATGCTGCTCTACTGTGTTTAAATGTTCTGTGGCTCTTTCTTTCTCTCTTGCTGTCTGTCTCTCCAGCTGCCTCAGTGATACAACTGCAGAAAGTTATTTTAGATTTAAATATTCAAAACAACAAACTGTGAAGGATATAAAATTACTTTTTGGTGGAGTGACTGAATGAAAGGTAAGGATTTAATTTTATGATTCAATGACTGGAGAGGAAGAGAAAAAGAATAACTGATTTGGCAAAAATAATATATGTCTGTTTCCTGTCTACAGAACTACCCTAAGTTTGATCAGAGACCGTCAAAGGTTTTATTGCCTTTCCAAGAATACCGTATAGCGGGTTATTTTCGTGTGTGTAAAATTTCGCAATATAGGGGCAACAAAGTATACAAAAAATTTTGGCGGTTTTTATTTTGGCGGATTCTTTAATCCCAATTAAATATTTTAGCGGATACTAAAATGGTTGCAGTTAAAAAGTTGTAAAAATTGACAAACAAGTGTCTATTGTTATGGTTAAATGATTGTTTTACGTGCATGAAGTCTTATTTATTCAATGGCGTAGTTACGTTGAGGCAACCGAGGCAGTTGCCTTGGTGGGAAAAAAAAAACTTTTATAATCTTATTCTTCAGTTTAAACAATTTCGACCTGAAGCAACAGACTCGCTTCTAAACGCTTATTATAAACCGACTTGTATAATACTATCATACAGCTTGTTGTCGGTATTCATTTGTAGACGGATAGTTGGTATCCTTTGCGAATTCAAGACTTATTGAAACATTTCCCTTCCCTTATTGGAAATCCCCTTTGCGGTGGTTTTCAGTAATCTAAATATGTCTGAGTCAAAGAAATCCGACACAATTGAAGCTTACAGATTTATTTAACCCTACTCCAAGCAAAATCAGTAGAATAGATCCTGATGATGATCGAACTCACGAGACTTCTCCGATCGAATCACTTGCCCATTTTGGTAAAACATTCAAATTATTAATTTTGTGTGATGATATTGAAATTTCTAGTAAATGAGGGTCTGGATGAGGTAAATAGACTTGCAATAAATGTAAAGTTAAAAGAATAGAACTTTAGAATGGTGCCAAAATATAAAAGGAAAATAAAATTATGGGCAAAAAGAATTAGAAATGAATGTTCAAACCCTCATATAACCGGCAGTATGTCAAGGATAAAGACATTGACCGAAACCTTGTATTGGACAAGTTTGACGCTAGTGGAAATAGAAGAATTGGTGCTTTGCACCTGTAGAGGATTTTTAGTATCAAAATTTAAAACATATTACAGAATTCAACTTTCATAAATAAATTTAAAGCACACATGATTATGGTATTTTAAAACACTAGTATTCAATATCTCTTACAAACAAAGAGAAAGGAAAAAAAGTAACATCGGAGCTTGACATATTGTAAATACTTGTAGCTATTGTTAAAACATATTAGCATTATTATGTTGAATAAAGTAAAACAACTGCTATTACTTTAATTTTTTTTTTCGTTTTTCAAATGGTAAAACCTCTATAGCTTATGGGGGGCTGTGCCCCCCAGACCCCTGCCTCGGTAATATCAGAGGGCAAGCTACGCCGCTATTATTGATTATATTTTGATATTTTTCAAAGGTGTACAAACTTCTTGTAAATGTAACGGTTGGTTAGTTACGAAATTGACCAGACCTTCGATGTACTAATTAGATTATAAAATTATCATGAGTGACTTGCAACTCTTATATAATTTGACACTAATCAATAAGGATAAAAAACCTGACAAAGTACCTTACACTCTTATATTATTAATTATTGTATTATGTAACCAATTAACAATTAACACCTGATAGCCAGTGAACAATGGCCTTTTGCATTTATGTTGTTTAAATTAACATAAACCATAATTGATCCGACAAACGAGAAAAATAGATAGTTTACAAAACGCTTTAGTTATTAGAAAGTACCGAATGTATGAATTTAATTTTGCGATTTCCCCTTACCCACCAAAATAAGCGTAAAAAATAAACACCCCGCGAAAATAACCCGCTATACGGTATTACTCAAGAAATAGTGTTACTTTTGTGTTGTTTGAGTAGATAAACAATCCTATTTCCTCTAAATGTCAATGTCAAATTTGTAATAAGATTGACCATAATAAAGTAAAAAGAATATTTGAAATTACAAATGTGCCATTGTACATGTGCGAAATTACTGTGAATACACAAAAAATAACAACAAAAGCAATCAACACTTTTTTTTAAGGCTGGAGACAGGAAAAAGACATATATATAAATCTTTTTTGGGTTTTACATTTCTTCAAGATTGAAAGCCTTCTTGCAAATGTAAATGCTTCTTTATTATTACTGTAGCAACTGCAGATGTAAAATCTGACATGGTGTAAAATACACTTATGAGTTTGTGTCAAACTAAATAGTAATTACAGATGATATAAAACCAATTATCACAATGTTTTTTTTTAATTTTTATTAATTTATAGACTCTAACTAATACTGTTAAGTTATTCAGATTAATAAGTAAGTATTATTTTTAAAATAAATAGTGGAAAATATAATAGTTTTTTTTAAGACAAGTATGTTGACTGTGATGGAGGGAGGTTGACAATAGAAAAGGAGGGAAGTTGACTGTTATGGAGGGGGGTTAAAATAGGAAAAGAGGTATGTTTGATTAGGCAAAAATTTTACCTTATCCCTTCATGAAATATCAATTTTAACATCCTTTTTTTATTGAACATGGCTGTGTCCACACAACCAAATGAGTGGCTCCTCAGCATAATCTTATTTCAAACAGAAAAAATTCAGATAACATTTCTATACAATAGACAACCCTGTGTTCTGAATTGTTCACTAATTGACCTATACTTTTGTACACAACAGAGTCATTTTGTTATTAACCTACCAGCTTTTGTATGTTCTCTTTTGGCATCATTGAGTTGTCTGTCTAAATCTGCCAGTTGTTCTGCAAACTCTTGTTCTATAATAGTCTTCTGCTCTTCTATCACTAAAACATTCAAGTTACATGTAGCATTTATAACTATTGTGCTGAAAAATTATTTTCATCTAAAACAATTTAAGCAAATGTTTTTACAAGGTCTACTGTATAACAAGAAATGATTGTAACAGGATGCTGTTACGAAGTCTCCCAAACGAAGCTCCCATAATTCGTAATTCCCAGGGTCGCCTGTCATTAGGCAACGTCCAGTGAAAATTGGTTTGGTCCAGTAAAGTTATATGCATTAGTGATGCCTGGGTACTAACCTTGTATATCATTCAAATCATCTTGGCATGACAAACCAGAATATATATGGTTTAGGGGTGGGGATCTTGACCATTTACAAGATACTAGAACATTGGGGGTGGGGGGAACCCCTGGAGACTGACCCTATATGTCATTCAAATGTTCGTTACATGACGAACAGGAATATATATAATTTAGGGGTGGGGATCTCAACCATTTACAAGATATTAGAACATTGGGGGTGGGGGGAAACCCCTGGGGACTGACCGTATACGTCATTCAAATGTTCGAGACATGACAAATAGGAATATATATGGTTTAGGGGTGGGGATCTCAACCATTTACAAGATATTAGAACTTTCTCAAATGGCAGGGGGTCGGGATGACCCCTGAGGACTAACCCTGTATATCATTCAAACCATCTTAGCATGACAAACCAGAATATATATGGTTTAGGGGTGGGGATCTTGACCACTTACAAGATATTAGAACTTTCTTAAATGGCAGGGGGTGGGGGTGACCTCTGGGGACTAACCCTGTATTTCATTTGATGTGCTTTATCATGACAAACCAGAATATATATGGTTTAGGGGTGGGGATCTTGACCACTTAGAAGATATTAGAACTTTCTTAAATGGCATGGGGTGGGGGTGACCCCTGGGGACTAACCCTGTATTACATTTGATGTGCTTTATCATGACAAACCAGAATGTATATGGTTTAGGGGTGGGGATCTGGACCATTTACAAGATATTAGAACTTTCTCAAATGGCAGGGGGTCGGGATGACCCCTGGGGACTAACCCTGTATATCATTCAAACCATCTTAGCATGACAAACTAAAATATATATGGTTTAGGGGTGGGGATCTTGACCACTTACAAGATATTAGAACTTTCTTAAATGGCAGGGGGTGGGGGTGACCCCTGGGGACTAACCCTGTATTTCATTTAATGGGCTTTATCATTTAGAACATTTTCAATTAAAAAGATTGTGTCTATCACAAACGGTTTTCAATGTATAATCATTTGAAAATTTAAAAAAATAAAATCCCATAGGGTTCTATAGTAAAACCCTCTTTTCTTTTTGCCCCTCAAACTACCCCTTTATAAACCCCATTGCACAAACAAAACCCTGATTGCACCACTAGACATGTTAGTCTAACATATTGTGAAACCCTAAGCTAATCTGACAAGCGGTTTTGAAGAACGGGTGCGGACAAGTTCAAATTTAAATGCGGCGGAAGAAGAAGAAGAAGAAGAAGAAGAATAAGAAGAGAGACTTAATAAAACAATTTCACCAAAAACAAACTACTTATACATTGAAAACAAATGTTATGGCAGGACTACTGAAGTAGCTCTTTTTTCATTAAGAATTAAAAGGAATAAATATGAAGTAAATCATCAGGAAAAATCATGTCCTATCACACCTACTCCTTAATATAATCTGATCTTAATTAACTTGACATTTTGGATTCTAAAAGATTGCAGGTAATTTAATAGTTTGTACACCGAAGGGAAAATAAAGTTATACTATTGGTTGAATGATAATTGTTTAGGACATCATTAACCAATGTTTGGTGGTATACTTTTATCAAACAGAATGCATAAGGTTTTGAAGGGGTGAATTATAAATATCCTATTTAATACAAAATAAAACTTGGTATCAATCTATAACAGAACAAGTATTATAACTCAAGGATAAAAGGCAGATTGAGATTGACACCCTAAGGACCAGGGATAAAATTTCACTTCATGTCAGGCAAAATCAAATTAACTCATTGTGGAATTTTTGGAGACTAAAATTTATATTCAAAATATCAAAGATATCGAAGATTCAAACTTACAAAAACACATTCTCATTTACATAATAAGTATATTCACATAAACAATCAAATATAAAACTCAAATTTCAAGTACCATTTTCCTTACTAAATCTGAAGGTCATTGGGATCTTGAATGTTTTTTTTTACTATGGATGGTTCCTCAAATGAGAAAGGAGTTTCTTGGTTACAATATCATCAAAGGAATGATAAGTTTGAAAGACCATTGATAATCTGTTTATCTCAATTTCCTAGGCTATTTTTCAATGACGTCATGCATTCTCTTTCTACTCTACTGAGAAAAACCCATATCATTAGAGTATCCTGAGATAGATAATTATCATACAGAAAGATCAAAGTATATTGGGAGAAAATAGCCATAATTATAATTACCTTGGTCTGATGTGACCTGATTTTTTGAATTATAATTACCTTGGTCTATTGTGACCTGATGTTTGGAATTATAATTACCTTGGGCTGATGTGACCTGATGTTTGGAATTATAATTACCTTGGTCTGATGTGACCTGATGTTTGGAATTATAATTACCTTGGTCTGATGTGACCTGATGTTTGGAATTATAATTACCTTGGTCTGATGTGACCTGATGTTTGGAATTATAATTACCTTGGTCTGATGTGACCTGATGTTTGGAATTATAATTACCTTGGTCTGATGTGACCTGATGTTTGGAATTATAATTACCTTGGTCTGATGTGACCTGATGTTTTGGAATTATAATTACCTTGGTCTGATGTGACCTGATGTTTGGAATTATAATTACCTTGGTCTGATGTGACCTGATGTTTGGAATGATAATTCCCTTGGTCTGATGTGACCTGATGTTTGGGATTATAATTACCTTGGTCTGATGTGACCTGATGTTTGGAATGATAATTACCTTGGTCTGATGTGACCTGACATTTTCCCAGTTCTATTTTCAGGTTATCTATCTGTTCATTAGCATCCTCTAACTCAATATTTAATCTATCAACTTCTTCTGTTAATTTGTTACATTGCTGCGAAAAAATAGCAAAAATACTTTGTGAAAAAAATATAGTTAGGTTAATTAACTTGCTCTTGTATTATGTAGTTTTGACTGAATAATTATGATGCTTTTGGTAAAATTACATTATTATTTAATATGAATTTTACTAGATTAATTAAAAAATCTCAATATATTGTCAGTAAATAATAGTACCTGTGATTTTCCTTGAAGATCCATTTCTAATTCTTCTATTGTTTCTCTCAAATTTTTTATTTCTTCATCCTCTGAAACATTTGATGATAATTGTATGTTATATTTCTTTAATGAATAACTTATTACTATGAATTAATAAGCACATAATGGTTTCATTTCTGTCTGAGGTACATTTTCTGAAAACATATACCTTTACATATAAAATCAATTTCAAAAGTAAATGTATGAATCTGAAGTAGTTTTAGATTCTATATCTTTGAAAATGTATTGTTAGGAAGATTGTAAGTCATGAATATTTATGAGGAATCTATATGATAAATTTTTTTAATTATGTAGTAATTTCAAGACCAAATGACCATGTAATAATCTTAATCATTTATATCGATTTAATAAGTGTTATAGTTTAAGTTAAGTCTGGTAATATTTTGTTTGCATATGGTTCTTGCACCACCTCTCTAAAGCAATGCAAAGTTACATTTAAACTTCCAAACTGACAATAAGAATTTCTGTAACTTACTTTGAACAGATGCAGCTGTATGCCTTTCTGCCCATGTCTCAGAATCTTGTTTTAGTTGTGACACAACTCGGTCTCTCTCCTCTGTAACTCTTTCTAACTCTCTTCTTAAAATTGATGAACTGCAATATAATTTTATGGACATTATCTATATACTGTACAACCAACCTGTGTCAACATCAGACAGAGACTGATGCTTGAAGTATTAAAGGGATCCAATAAATGAAAGTTCCTTTATGGCTATGATACTTGTCAGCTATATTAAGTATATTTAAACTGCAAATATTTTGTATTAAAAAATTACCCATTGTGTATATTTATTATTTTTATTGGTAACAGTAAGTATTGGTCTATCTACAGACAGCATACTCTGGACTAGTTTTAATCATTTTTCCCTTTAAATAAAATCTACAGACTATAAAATTGAGAATGGAAATGGGGAATGTGTCAAAGAGACAACAACCTGACCATAGAGCAGACAACAGCAAGAAACTCCCGCACCCGGAGGCGTCCTTCAGCTGGCCCTTAAACAAATATGTATACTAGTTCAGTGATAATGGACGTCATACTAAACTCCAAATTATACACAAGAAACTAAAATTAAAAATGATACAAGACTAACAAAGGCCAGAGGCTCCTGACTTGGGACAGGTGCAAAAATGCGTATAGTTTAGACTGGTTTAACATTTGCATTATAATGTACTCATTTAGTCCATTTGTGGACAACTGGTTTAAATTATCTGTTTACATGAATTACTCATTCAGTCTATCTACAATGTACAATTTAAACTTGTTTTATATTTATAAGACTTACTCATCCTGTACATCTGTTAACTGTAAAAGTGGTTCTGTTTTGTCTTCTGTCTGTAACTGGGACATTGCTTTCTTTCTTGCAAACAAACCTTAGAGAAAAAGTTTTTACTTATTACCCTACATCACCAAAAATTTTACTGTTTTCATTTTATAGTATATTTTAATGTACCAATTTGTCCATGAAGAGCAATTTTAGTTTGTTAGTGTCTACCCAATTAATTATTTAGTCTGTGCTATGTTTTTTATTGCCCCTTTATATAATCTTCCTAGTTTTTCAAATTAAATTATTTTCACAATAGTGGAATTAACAAAATAATCTAAAGGTGCTTTAAAGATCGATCAAATTAAAAAATATTTATATACCTTTTCTATAATATGCATATTAACAGAGTGATCTTTTACTTTTGAAAATCACAAATCATATTAATAAATGTCTTTGCATACTAATATGTAGGCATGCTAATAGTCTTCAAATTGTGGCAAAATGCAGCATTTTCCAGCAAAAAATTAATGAATATTACTTTCAATTTTAGCAGGAAAGAGATGCAATATGCCTTTCATATTAGTTTTTGCGTTTGAATGCAGATTATGGTAAAAGGGTAAAGCATGAGTGATTTGTATAACATGTTTAATGAAACTTAACATATACAACTGACTTATTTCAAAATGTGTAAATTCATCTAATTATAAAGTAATTACATAAAAAATCAACATAATATAACAAAAGTGATAAATTTTATTTAAAAAAATTCAAAAATGGTCCAATGAAATTTACTGCATTTTAACTTGTATTATATTGTAATAATGTTTTTTTTTCTTCTTTTAAAAATAATTTCAAATTTGTAGAATAGTTGATACACTTTTTACTTGACTTGTCATAGTGAGCTTGTGATAATCAATTCCAATGATTTGTTTACAGGTAAAAGAGGTATGAACAGTGTCAAAGTCACAGTGACCTAATTACCTGTTTATAACAGGTCTATAGAATTCCATTTAAATAAATCAACACCTATCACAGTGACAGAATTCATAAAATTAGACAGTTTAGTAAGAATTAATTCATGTCGTCATATATTTAATTTGTAGGTCCAGCTGTGACAAAAACTTAACAAATTATCTTTATTCTTTTCACTGATAGGACCCCCACAAGAATGGTTAGCACATCATAAAAATTGTCAAACATATACATTTATATAAATAGAAGTAATAATAATTACAATGTTATAAAAAATAAGTTTTTCACAGAAAACATCTGCTGTACTGTTGAGATACATGTGATTATTGTGATAAACTCTAAGATATTTTTTACACCATGACAATAGAGAGAGCATTTCCAGCTTTTAAACTTTCTTTTGATCTACGTGGGACAATCAACAGAAAATCTAACAAATACAATGTTGCTGACCAGGAAAAGATGAATAGAACAAACATATATAAGTATGATCAAAACTGGACTTATAAAAGGAAAACATCTACACCAATTAGACACAGACTGCCTGATCTGAATAAGAAGAAAGGAATTTATTTAGCAAGTAAGCTGAAACACCTTAACTCTAAAATTCCAATATTTAGAAAAGAAAAAAGAAGTCATGTACGAAAAAGTGTGATGCACGATTTTCATGAGAATATAGACAATAGACTAGCAGAAAAAACATTTCTACCTGTACAAACAATGATGGACTGTTCTGTGATTCCTACAAATGATTATAACAGAATTTCAGTAAATCCAATGACAAATTACTTATTTCCTGGAAAAATTGTGAAACATGTGTCAATGCAGATGACCATATGGACAAATCAATTAAATCGCTTGAAGAGAAAGACAGAAAGACTGAGGGAAAAAGATGCTGAACTGAAAAAGAAGTATGAAGAAATGAAACAAAGAGCAAAGCGTGTTCTGTCTGATGATGAAGAAAACAGTAATACTGATGTATCTCCAACAAAACGAGCTAGACTTGAGGAGGTTACAAAAGATTTACAAAACTGTAAAATTAGGTCAAAAGTGTCTCGGAAACCTTCAAGAATTCCAAGACCAAGAAACAATTTATTTTCCTATTCCAAGGCTAGAACATTGTTTGATAAATATACAACAAAAGACAAAATGTCAGTTGGAAAGGAATCTAATGTAAGTTTTAATACTTCTTGTTCAGATTTTATATTTTCTTTCATGAAGAATGGCAAAAGATGTACATTTTGTTAACTCCTATGTTATGTTTTTATTATTTATATAATTATATTGTTATTTTGTTTGTTATGTTTTGAATTCTTAACGCAGTAAAATTATAAGAAAAAAACTGTTTTATTTTTGTCTGTAATGATCTGTATAAATAGTTGTCATATTTTAGTCATTTTATTTGACTATTAAGATATCTTAAGGATATAAGTGCCACTTGTTTTCATTATTTTTTTTCAAGATAGGATTGTACCACATATATATCTTTATAATCTCTAAGTCGGAAATATACATGATCATCCTTATTCATGGCTCCATTGGCATTCCATATTTTAAGAGATCGACATTTTAGTAATGTTTTCTAAATTCATGCATGTCCCCTCAAAACTATGGCTATTTTATTCTTATGTTCATCAATTTCAAGTGCAATTTGATAATTGAAATCTGAGAAAATTGGCATTGAACTAGCTTTCAGTATTTGTAAGGTTTTTTTTGGGCCGGTAACTCCTAAAGTTATTGTAATCTGATGATTACTGTCCATAGAAAAAGTCCATCAATAATAAGTTCTTGTATAACTAAATTTATAAAAAGAGTTATACTAAAGTTGATATTATTCCACTTTCAAATGTTTGAGGATAGCTTAAATACCTCAAAGCTACCTTAGTCCTGCATGATTCAGCATGTACCTAAGCCAAGTATCTGATGACAAGTATAAATTAAAGCAGATGTGGGGTATGAATTAGTGAGATACTAGTAGCAAAGAGTAAAGGGCAATCAGAGGTCAAAATAAGTGATGGTCATTCTTTTGCTATCTGTTCTTTTTTAACTTTTTGCTCATGCAGTTTACTTGCTGTTTCTTTTCAATTGTGTCCCAGTTTGTTTAGCTTTATCCTTATTTAAATGTCCATTACTTTGTTGGAGGATGTTAACATTAAGATGTTGACTTTCTTTCTAAAAGAGAGGCAAAAGATACCAAAGAGATGTTCAAACTCAAAAGTCGAAAACAAACTGACAACGCCATGGCAAAAAATGAAACAAACAAAGACAAACAACAGCACATAGAACACAACATAGATGACTAAAGACTGAGCGACACCAACCCAACAAAAACTAAGTGTTATTTGGTGGAAAGCTATCTCATAGCCAATATCTTAGTATTCTTAAACACAATGGGACAGTAATCCTAAAATGTTGAAGACATCTTTACATGCATATGTTTACCAGCAGTTTAGAAACATTTCTTGTGATACAGATGAAGTTGTAGATCATTTAGATTTTATACATTTCAATTCAAATTCCCTTTTCTACACTCAGCAAACTGAGATATCACAGTTTACACCTTTAAAACTTCAGAATGGACTTATTTCTTTACCCTTCCTGCTTTGCAAAGTAGTTGTCAAAATCCATTTATATATTTTAACCTCCAACTCCAATTTGAACAGTCAAGGCAAAAGAAGTAGTTGGTATCAAGCAATATCGGGTAAATTTAGATAACCAAAAAAGGGAATGTAGCTGAACTCAAACTTCTTAGTACTTTTTTATTGTGTAGATTGCCTTAATAAGTCTACTACCAATATCAAGTACTACCTTGCAACATTTCAACACGACCACTGGCAAAACTAATTCTCTGACCGTAGGTTTTCATGGTATTGAACACTGTATTAAGTACACTATAGGATTCTTCCAGTTTTCCACAAACACTGAAATAAAAAAATTCTATTCTTAAAAGATAGATTAGGAAAAGCATAAAATAATTTTGTCATGAGGAATTCCAGAAACTCTCACAGATATCAATAAACTGTTTCAAAAGAGAAGAAAATATGAAGTTAAGGACAAAACATAAAAGAGAATGATCTTATATGTTGCTCTTGCTAATTGAAATTAGAATTGTGAATGAACTTATAAAAGGATACCCCTATCCAATAATAGTTTTAGTATATAGAAGAACATGCATGAATTATCTCCCCTTTAACTTATTGAACCTGGACATCCTTAGGTAGTATAAAGATTTAAGATTAATCAATATCTGTCTAGCTGTTTAGGAAGAGTTATGCTGGAGATACACAGACAGACAGATGAACAGGGTGATTCCTATATATCCCCTCTCCCCCCAAAAAACACTATGTTTACAGGGAGTATGTTAGGATTCCCAATATAACGGTTTATTCATTCATATAATGATACAGTTGTTGGGTCTTTATGTTGTTATGTCATATATAGAGAGGTAAGCTATTGAACAAAATTAACACAAATCAGAGCATCCCCTCTAAATCCTACATAAATTATTAAACATACATAATGTACACAAAATTCAGTGTCATAACTTTATATCAAAATAATGTTTAAAACAAAATATATCAGAATTAACTTAAATTTTGAAAAAAAAAACAAAAAAAATAAAAAATCCAAACCTTTTACAGAACTGTTGTAATTGTTCTGCTGACTGTCTGTTCTCTATCAATCTGTCATCTAACAATAATGCCATCTGCTGGGCTTGTATCACCTCATGTTGTAATTTCTAAACCAAAATAAACTTTTTCAATTACAAATAAAACACTTTTTCACAGTAAATGTATTACAGGCATTTATTCTTTACACTGTGTGATTTTTATATTTCAAACAGATCTATAGTAACTGAAGTCTTGTCAGTACACATATCTTAAGTAATATTGGCCTTTTAATTTGTTTACCTAAATTAATCCCCTTTAAGTTATCATATTTCGCAAAGATGAATTGCACTTACCATATTGACTCTTATTTAGTTGAAATTGCATGGAACATAGCCTCTACATCTTTTTCATTATCATTTACTTTCATGTATGGCTGATGTAAACATAAGAAGATGTGGTATGATTGGCAACTATATATCTATCCACCAGAGACCAAATGATGTAAGCATCTATAGGTCACCCCACTTCCTTCAACAATGAACAAACCCATACTGTAAAGTAAGCTATAAAAGCCCCAGGCATGACAAAATTTAAAACAATTCAAACAGGAAACCTAACACCCTGATTCATTTAAAAAACAAATATGATAGACAGCAACCAATGACAACCACTGAATTACAGGCTTCTGACTTGGGACAGGAAGATAATAGAATGTGGTAGGCTTAAAAGTTTGAATTGGATGGAGAGTTGTCTCATTGGCACTCATACCACATCTTCTTATATCTATCAAAAGTCTTTATGAATGCTGAACCCTTCCCCTAACCTTGGAAAGTGCTGTACCGGCTCAATATAAAAACAAACGGTAAAAATCAGTTAAAAAAGACTTGAGTCAGTTTAAGCATGAGTCATAAAATCTAGACTTTACCTTATTATTGTTGACTTCCATGTCTAGTTGAGCCTGTTTATCAGACATAGCATGAGACAAAACATTCATTTGGTTGTTTGCTGATACTAATCTGTTCTCTAAATCACCAACCTTAAACAAAGGAATAAATTCAATTTTCATTAGAAATATCATTTACCTGAAGATGCTATAAAATCTTATTAGAGGGGAAGAAGGGGTCTCATCCCAAATTCCTGAGAAAATATACGACAATCCCTGAATTTTGGTGAGAATAAAGTCCCCGTTCCCACATCATTCCCGATGAATTAACTGGTTATTCCTGAATTAAACAGCTCAATCCAGACGTCCTGCAAAAGGTCCTTCTGCCCTTTATATTAACATATTTTCTTCTGTTTTCACAAAATTTTACTTTGAAAAAGTTGGGTCTTCAAACTTCTAAAACTAAGGTTAATCATTATTACTAGTTGAATGTTAAGAAAGCTGAAAGCCAATTCAAACTGAATTTCACATCAAAGTGAGGTATGCGTTAATTTGCAGTATTTCGGATATTCATGAAAATTATATTCATAGATGAATATTCAAAGTGTAATATTCCATCATGAAAATTATTGTTACAAAATTATACGATTCCCAAGATTTTTATGGTACAAGTATTACAAAAATGTAAAAATAAACAAGCATTCTGTGAGTATTGCATGGCAATACATAGTCCCCTACCAGTTACAAATTCATTGTAATGGAACGAAATTCTAACTTGATTTATAACTTGTCATGGTGTAAACTACATAAAAATATCAAGTCAAAATCTTCAAGCATGACAAAAAAGGTGTTGAAAACTGATTATTTAGGTGAATTTTCTATGTCCAAAGACCATATCTTTGCACAAAATTATCAGACTGGAACAAAATTCCAACTTGATCTGTAACTTGTCATGATAAAACTATATACTAATTATCAAATCAATATCTTCAAGAATGACAAACAAACCTACCACTAAATTCTTCAAACAATTTACCAAAGAAAAGGAAAAAAAATCCAAAATGTCATTTTGTCTTTTAAAAGTCTTTTAAAAAATGAGTTATTTCCCTTTGAACAGAAATCTACTAATTAATAAGTATTTCATCAAAAATTTAATACTAGGGAAAGGGCTTTAACTGAACAAAGAGAAAAGCTAAAATCGTGAAAATTGAACTTGACCTGTAACTTGTCATGATAAATCAATAAACCAAATATCAAATCAATATCTTCAAGCACAAAGAAAAAATGTCTGGAAAAAAGAATTACCTTTCCTTTCCAGTTTTGTTCATCCTTATGTTTTATAATAGCAGCAGATTTTTGTTGAACCATTAATGCAAATACTTTTTCCCTCCACCTATTTATAACAAAGAAAAGTATTTATTATTCTGTGTCACAACTTTCAATATTCTTTATTACTGGAAACAGTCAAATAGTGTTTATTAGTAAGATATTATATGAAGGGCATATTGAACAAGAGTACATGAGTCCTTACTAACAGATTACATTTACAGTAAACTTTATATTTGGCAAGAAGAATATTATGTATCACAAGACAGGTACTTCAATACTGATTTTACTGTAAATCTCACTCTAATTCATAATTTCCTTTCCATTGGGTTGTCAGCAAAATTAGTAGCAAGTCTGTGCAATAGAATATGTGTGATTTTTAATAATATTCATTATACCTACCAGTGAAAAATGACATTTATTTAATTAGAATATAATTCACGTAAACTAGTTCTCATCGCAAACATCTAGGTGATCTAGAAATAAAAACATCCCTAGGATGTCCGATCACCCTACCTGTGTTACACACCCCAATACAGGTAAATATACAGGTATTCTAATCAGTTTTAATTTTTGCGAGCTAGCGAACAGATGTTCTCGTCGCTGCAAAGTTTTCAACAAAATTAGTAATTTAGTTTTTTTCTATTGAAGACTTCTTTAAATAACATAGTATTATTACTATATCGTTAAATTTGAAAATTTAAAATTATTTGAGTATGGATTCCGATCTCGAGATGCACGAGAATTCGGAAGTAAACAAAGATGCGCCATCTTTACCTGCAAATGAGAAAAAAGATGGTTCAATGTCCAGAAATGACAAGAATGGTAAAGCTAAGAAAAAACCTTCTAAGTCGACGGTATTACAACAAGAGCATGACCAAAAGCTAAAAGGTTTGCAAGACAATTTTGATAATAAGTTTGAGACTTTATTTAACATGATGCAATCGTTGGCCAATGTTAGAGGGGCTAATAACGATAATGTAGTTCAGAATAGGGATACACAAGGTATGCCCATATCTGAAACTAATGCAGATTCAAGGGGTCAGAATAGAGATACGCAAGGTTTGCTCAGATCTGACACCCCTAGACCCATTATTCCGCTAGTTTCGAATCTAGACGAGGATTTGGGTTCTCCTAGAGTGTCTAGGAACACAGATTTCGACGCAAGGTCGGAAATATCTATACATGTTAACCCTATAGAAAGGGATATACTCGGAGATATTCGCTCTGATAATGAGTCAGACAATGAGAGCGAAGCTAGAGTTGAACAGTCAACAGGTAGTGTTGCTAGAAAAGGTGAAAGGTTTATGAAACATGTACAGTTAAAATCTGTTTCAAATGAAGTAAACAAAGATAGTGAGTTAAGCTCAGATACTAGACATAATGTTTTGTCAGAATTGTTAAGTGAGGATTTTGCCTCAAACAATGATAAAGGTAGTGTTGGTTTGATTATGGATCAAGCACAAGTCAATATTTTGGAAAATTCCTGCTTATAGAGAGGAATACAGGAGTTGTTTTCCTGTACATGATAGTGCTATAGAGTTCTTGCAGGTTCCTAGTTTGGACGACTTGCTAGAGCCAATGATGAGAAAGAACCATGGGCCAAAGGCAGTAAAGTCGTGGGATACTGGCCATAGGCAATTGCATACACAGCCTTTAAAACAAATAGAGAAGCTTTCTTTTCAAGGGCAAATGGCGTCTCGTATGAATGTGATTTCTGGCATGTATATGCAACAGACAATGGGTACACTGCTTGGGAAGCTTGAAAATTCTCCGTCTTTAGAACACGAGGAGAAAGAATCATGTTGCCAAATTGTTAAAGATTTGTTTGCAATGTCTACAAAGTCTTTAGACCAGTCAGGTAGGACTGGTGCATTTTTTCATTTAGTCCGACGTAAGGCTGCATCATATGATTCAGGTCTTGTGACTTTGTCTGATATTAAAGACAAAACACAATATTTGCCTTTATCAGGTGAAGGTGTTTTTGGGAATGGTCTTAAGTCATGCCTTGAAAAGCGCAAGGAACAAAAGGATCAGTTGAATGATTTATTACCTGAATTAGGTCAGGGTAGGAAAAGAAGGGCAGATTTTGACCGAGATTGGCAAAATAAGAATCCCAAGTTCAATGTTGAGCAAAATGCTGTTAATGCCAGTAAGACTCGAGGCTCCAATAACAATAGGTTCAATGTGCCTAAAACATCAAATAGTGGGAGACAGCCACAAAGAGACAATCAAGGCTATAAGGGTCCTGCTAAAGAGTCAAATAGGGACAAGACCAACAAGACTGGTCAGAGTAGCTGGGGGTATTTTCGGATCCCCAGAAAGAACAACAGTTGACTCAAAGGTAGGTTCAAGTTTGATGATGTGTACAGAGATTCCGGTAGGGGGGCGGCTAAAATATTTTCTTCAAAATTGGAAAATGATAACAACAGATCAGTGGGTACTTTCAATAATAGAGGAAGGTTACAAATTGGAATTTCTTCAAAGACCTGCATGGACAGGCATCAAGAAAACAATAATATCTCACAAAAACACAGATATATTTTTGGCAGAAATAAATTCTTTATTAGAAAAGGATGCTATAGAAAAAGTGAATTTTCCGGAATCTCTCACAGGTTTTTACAGTACACTATTTCTGGTGCCAAAGAAAAACGGGAAAATGAGACCCGTGACAAATTTAAAACCATTAAATGCACATCTAAAGAAAGTCCATTTCAAGATGGACACAATGAGCAAAGTCATAAATCTAGTGAAACCAAAAGATTGGGCAATTTCAATAGATCTGAGCGATGCATATTTCCATGTACCAATATTTCAGAAACATCGTCCGTACATGAGGTTTTGCATAGCAAATCAATGTTATCAATGGAAAGCAATGTGCTTCGGCCCTACATGTGCTCCTCGAATTTTTACAAAACTGGTGTCAGTGGTAGCTGCATATCTGAGAACTCAAAATATCAGAATGTCAGTATATTTAGACGATTGGTTGATAGTCAATCAGGACCAGCAGCAATTAGTTCAGGATCGCCTGAAATGTCTCAATCTGTTGGTTTCACTAGGCTTTATAATAAACACAGACAAATCAAGCCTAGTTCCAAGTCAAGTGATAACATATTTAGGGGGACTTTTTCATTTAGACAAGGGCTTAGTTTATCCAACAATGGAAAGGATAGAGAAGTTACAGATATTACTAGAAAAAATGCTTTTAGGTCAGAATTTGGCTCTAGATTTTTTGAAAGTTTTGGGGATGATGGCATCATGCATCGAGTTGATTCCCAATGCTCGTCTGTTTATGAGACCCATTCAACTTCATTTGTTAAGTTTTTGGAGGCCAGTCAGCAAAAATATGTTGGCACATGTTCCATTGACACAACATCTGAAATACCATCTTTTATGGTGAAAAAATTCAGCCAACACGCTGAAAGGCCGATATTTGCAATTGCCGAAAATCAATGTGACCATAACGACAGATGCTTCAATGACAGGTTATGGGGGTCATATTGGAAAACAGATTTTTCAGGGAGTTTGGAATTCGGAACAGAAGCTTTTGCACATAAATTGTTTGGAAATGAAAGCTGTAATTTTGACAGTTCAGCATTTTCTGAAAATTTTGAAGGGAAAATGTGTTCTGATAAGGAGCGACAACACAAGCGTAGTACAATACATAAATCGTCAAGGGGGGACGAAGTCCCCAAATTTATGTTACTTGACTTGGGAGCTATGGCAGATAGCAATTCAAAACAATATAGTCTTGAAAGCAGCCCACATTATGGGCAAGAAGAATGTTTTAGCGGATCATTTGAGTCGGGAAAAGGTTTGTCTGACAGAATGGTCTCTGAACAAGTCTATAGTGCAGCAGATTTTTCAGATATGGGGAACCCCATTGATAGATTTGTTTGCATCATGGGAAAATCGCCAGACAGAAATATTTTGCACTTGGATTCCTCATCCCAATGCTTTGGCCTTGGATGCTCTGACAATTCCTTGGGAGAACATGTACGCGTATGTGTTTCCCCCAATTTGTCTGATTCCAAGGATATTGCAATATATGAGGCAGTTCCACTGTCAGATAATTTTGATTGCGCCCCAGTGGCCAAGGAGACACTGGTACACGGAGATCTTGCAGTTACTGATAGCTTGTCCAATAAGACTACCAGTAATGGACAATTTGTTGTCTCAGGCCAAAATGAAAATTTTTCATCCAAATCCAGAAATATTAAATCTGACAGCATGGCTTCTTTCGACAGACGTTTTAAAACAGAGGGATTTTCTCAATCAGCAAGAACATTGCTCTCAGCTTCATGGCGAGATGGTACAAAAAAGGACTATTCCTCAAAATTCGAAAAGTTTAATAGCTGGTGTGGTGAGAGACAAATTGATCCATATTCAGCAAATTTAAATCAGGTTGCTGATTTTTTGGCTTATTTATTTCAGTCTGGTTTGCAATATAGGACAATAGCAGGTTATAGATCTATGTTATCTGCAGTGTTACCTCCAGTGCAAAATTTTCCTGTCGGCCAACACCCTAACATAGTAAGGATTATTAAAGGTGTATTTAATTCTAGACCACCAAAGGTAAAAATTCTACCTGAATGGAACTTAGAATTGTTATTACAGGCTCTTGAAAAGAAACCATTTGAGCCTATGCAGGAAGCTGATTTAAAGCATGTAACTTTAAAAACAGTGTTTTTAGTTGCCATAACTACATTCAGAAGATGTAGTGATTTGCAAAGTCTCCATATTGATGACAAGTCAATGAGAGTTCAGTGTAAGGGTATTACTTTTGTAAGACATGGCTTAGCCAAGCAAGATCGACAAAAGCATTTTGGAGAAAAATTATTTGTTCCAAGTTTTCCAGAGAAAACTTTGATAGATCCAAAAAGAGCTCTTTCAGTTTATTTGGATAAAACTAAAAATTTTCGGAAAAAGTTAAGTGAATCAGAAAGAATTAAAACTTTTTCTGGGAATAAATGAACCACACAAACCAGTGTCAACCGCAACTATTTCAAGTTGGATTGTTCAGGCTATTAGAATAGCTTATGATGATGACAATATGAAAGTAAATGCACATTCAACACGTGCTATAGCTCCAAGTTGGGCTTTGTACAAAGGGGCTTCTTTGAAATCAATTTTAGATTCTGCCGACTGGGCAGTTGAATCAACTTTCGCAAAGTTTTATTTGCGAGATTTTGATGCTACTAAAGTTTTAGAATAGGATGTAAGCATACAAATTCATTTATTTGTATGGTACTTTGTTTGTTTATTGCAGTATAACATGTAGCTGTATATAGATGTAAATAGTGGGTTTTTTGTTATGGTGATAGTATTTTATCCTGTTCGATAGAAATTTTGTTTGTGGAGTTTTTCTTGTAGAGAAGGAAATTCATCCTCCACCGTTGAATGAATTCAACACTGCTTTTAAATCAGTGAGTATATTCTAATTAAATAAATGTCATTTTTCACTGGTAGGTATAATGAATATTATTAAAAATGGAACAATTTGTTCCCAAGTTGAGATTTTTAATAATAGAGTTATACCTACCAGTGAAGGGGCCACCACCATCCCCTAGATGAATTTCTAGATATGTGTATATTGAAGGAACACGACAAAAATCAAAACTGATTAGAATACCTGTATATTTACCTGTATTGGGGTGTGTAACACAGGTTGGGTGATCGGACATCCTAGGGATGTTTTTATTTCTAGATCACCTAGATGTTTGCGATGAGAACTAGTTTACGTGAATTATATTCTAATTAAATAAATGTCATTTTTCACTGGTAGGTATAACTCTATTATTAAAAATCTCAACTTGGGAACAAATTGTTCCAATTGTTTATATTTATTTTGTATAAACATTTTTGAACCTTTTCTACACATGACATAGATGCCTTTTTCCATTTTTTTTTAAACTGAAATTTGTTTCATTTGAAATTTTCAAACTTTAATTATCAAACTTTTATATGAATATTAATAGTCAGTAATAACAAACAAAGATGATATAACACATGCTGATTTAATCAAAACAGAGATTGGTTATGAAGTTTGATGTCTCTACTGAAGAGCAAATATATAATATTGATCTAAAAAAGAAAATCTAAATTTATTTAGAAGTTCTGACAACAATAATGATCTCTACCTACAGTAAATTCAGAAATTTATGCGTGCATTTATTATTGCGATTTTGTCAATTTAGAATAAAATGCGATTCTAATTTTTGTGATATTGAGAAAAATACTGTTTTAATTCATATAAAAAATTTCAAAATGCAAGTTTAAATTATTGCAATTGTAACCATGTCACATTTTTCACAATAATAAAAACATTGCAATAATTTCTGAATTTACAGTATCATACCTGGTCAATAATAAATTCTCCTGTTTGTTCTTGTCTGTTTTATCTTGTGAAACCTAAAAGTAGACCAAATCATTACTACTTGTTTGAAAATTTCACAGTATCTTCTCATGTTTTTTATACAAAAATATATGTGTGTGTTTCTAATAATATTAATTCAAAACAACTATGTCAATTACATTGTTTAAAAGCAATCAGACACACCAAATTTATATTTTGTTATTTCATTTACCAACAACAGAAAGATTTCTGAAAAATCAAAAACATGATAAAAATATAAATGACCCATAATACTAATATTGTAGATACATGTATGTTTCAGACAATGAATTTCATTTCAATCCTTTTCCATGGATTGAAAAAATGTACTTGCGCTATAGAAATTTCTTTGTTTGAAAGTAATGTATAACCTCTTAGACAGAAAGAAAATTCAAAGTTCAGTTGTTTCTGTTGATATTCAGTAACTTGTAAAAGTACATTCCCTGAATAACATGTATATAAATAAATAAAAGAGAAGTCAGAATATATTCAAGCAACAAAAACATAACATTCTATTCCTACCCTTGATATTTCAGCTTCCTGTGTCCGTAGAATTTCATTCAAAGAGGAAAATCTTATGTTTAACAGCTGTAAATTTGACTGTATATTTTCTTTATCTACTTCTAATATCTACAAAATATGATACAGAACAGACATCAGATTTGTCTTTATCCATTCTGAAGAGTTATTGAAGAATGCAAGTGCATCTTTTTTCCCTTTTTGTGGTTCCCCTAATTCTGTTTAAATTTTTTTTTTAATTACATGTTAAATAAATTTCTGTGTTCTATAATGAAAAAGAACAATGACATCTCTTTGTGCTGTTCTATGTAACATGACCTTACTTTCAATTCAAAAGTGACTTTTCTCATTTCTTGACAAATAAACATGTACATGCAACTTTCAATAAAAAATATAGTTCTGATATAGTTTTTTTTTTAAACAAGTACTGTCTTGCAGTAAAGCAATCATTGTTGTAAGTCTTTCCTCTCACAATTCTAATGAAGTTTATCATTTTACCTCATTAATCATGCAACCATATTTTAGTATATATTAACTATTTCACTACAGATGGCAGCACTTGTAGGATTAGTTTACCTTAATACACATGTACCAGATATTCAATTTTGCTTACAGTTGAAAACCTGACAGCAATTTTTAGATAAAGAATAGGAATACAAAGTTTCTTCATTTATATTTTTTTTTCATCATGTATGATTTAATCTCTGCTGTGTAGCTCAAGTGAAAATCTACTTTTTCTTAAATAAAAAAAATCTTCAAAATATTCATACACAAAGTTTCAATTTAGAAGATCTTGGCTATAAGAATATTTCAAAGCATATAAAGATACTGATTTAATCAATTGTAACAAAGATTATTCACCTGCAGTTTGTTTTCTAATGTCTCTTTCTCCTTTCTCCACACTTCAGCAGGTTTTGGACCTTTTTCAGTATCACCAATATAATTCTTTAACTGCACAATCTGTTTATTTTGATTTTCTATATTATATGTAAAAGTTCTGAAAAATGAATTAAATACTCAATTACCCAGTAGCACAGAATTTGGTGGAATTTTACTAAAGTTATTATGAGAAACCAAAAATGGGATATTTCAGCTTTATCCAGGTCCTTTCTCTAGAAGGACAATACTTAAATTGTCCAAATTCAAACTGGGTCTGTGTTTAGTGGTCCTTAATAATATCTAAATTTCAAATGATTTGGTGGAGGCTTACTCAAAGTAGCATCTGAAAAAAAAAACCTAAGTATGTACAAAAAAATCATTGTATGGTCATATGACAATAAAAGTATATTGCCCCATTGCCTATCACAAGGGAATAAAAAAGAAGACAAAGATTATATTTTACTTTTTCTTAAATTATGAGATTTTCACTCAATTGCAATGGCCTAGCTAACAAAATTAACGAAGATTCCTGAATTTATCATTGTAATTTTAAATACAATGAAAGAACCTTAGTGAGCGCGCTCACATACCCCACGTCCCCACATTGTCATTGGAGAAATAAAATAAGTGTAAGAAAAAAAATTGTATCAGAAAAAAAAATTGAATCATAATTTCCTGTCAATATGCACATCTACATAGTATGTCTTTATTATAATCTACACAGTTTCAGGAAATTCTGTTGTGTGGTTTGAGAGGAGTTGAGATGACAAACTGTTGCAGTAGTACATTAAAGTAAATAAGTTCAAAGAGGTGTAACTCCTAGAAAAAGAATTGAATCGTAATTTCCTGTCGATATGCACAACTACATAGTATGTCCTTATTATCTAAAAAGGTTTCGTGAAATTCTGTTGTGTGGTTTGAGAGGAGTTGCGATGACAAGAAACAGGACTGACGGACAGACGGACGGACGGGTCAAAAACATTATACCCTCCGCAACTCGTTGCTTGGGGTATAATAAAAGTAAAAGTGACACATTTGTCAAACATTTTCCTATCAAGTGATAAAAACTATACAATATTACTAAGAGATACATGTCCTCTACTGGTCCCAGCTATATCTAGAGATGAAATTTCTTGTTAAATCACATCAACAAATGTTGGGTTTTTTTGCTTGTTTGTTTCAAATATGAAACAGTATCAGTCATTAAACACCTTAAACAATCTGTTGTTTCACATATTGTCAGCCTGGGGTCTTTTTAGAACTTACATATTGGTTTTAGTTTTGTACATTGTTGAAAGGCATATATACCTGTAGATCAATAATCTTCACAAAATATATGATCAGTATATCTTACTTAATTTCTAACTGTAATCTGGAAGTATTTTCTGACGCCTCTTCTCTTTCTTTCTCCAGCTCTGACTCCAGCTGTCTGATTCTATCTTTAGATCTTGTAGATACAGATGATAACTGATCTTCTAATGTTTGAATCTGATTATATAAAGTTTCTACCTCTCTTTGGTGTTCTGAACTCAGCCTATCAACCTGTAGTCATATAAAATAGTTAATCACTATATCCCATTAAAAAATGATTGGACTCAATATATTGTTTCTAATATCCAGAATGGTGCATGGCAAAGTGATGAATAGAGGTAACCTTACCTCCAATTTGTTAAATTTCTCATTAAATTGTGCACATTGAACAGAAAGAAGCATACGAAAAAAAAAAGATTTATACATGAAGATTGCGAAATTAGCCACTTTTTGCATTTCAATATTTGTATTTTTATGCATGGAATGAAAAAAATGGGTCATGTTAAATTGAAAGGACCTGGTTTTGTAAATGTGTTTGACATCTGCTTCCATCATCATTAATGCACTTGATGAATTTAAGATACAGAGCAGTGAAAATTTAAAATTTAAGGATAGTTGAGTGATTGTACATACAGACCAACAACATAAACAAAGTTAAGTCTTTCTATAAGTTGATACTAGTCCTAGTTTGTATGATTTAATAGAAAAATGGTTCATAAAATGTGTCCGAGGCGAGCAGATGTACTATATTTATATTTTCTATCTTTCCTGCCTTGTGTAAAATAAGAAAAGAAGGGCAACCTATATCAACTACTGTAATTATGATATTGTATAGATAATAGCAATAACATATTCAATATAAAGTAGAAATAAGTTAAAATACTAAAGAATATTTACAGACAAAAAATTAATTAAAAATTAGAAAAAGGGGGCCGTGCCCCAAGTGCCTGTGGTCATTTTCATATGAACACCATATCAAAATACTAAATATAACAAATTTACCAATGCTATACCTGTGAATCATATCTATCTTCCCGTGACTTTAGGTCAGCCTCTAAGATAGCTATTGTCTGCATATTCTTCCTCTCACTGGCTGTTGTTTGTCTTTCTATCTCAGTTATCTCCTCCTTACGAACACATTTCAGTTGTCTTATTTCATTTCTTAGCTCAGCTATTTCTGATGCCTGCTTAGTTATAAGTTCATCAATGTATTTTCTGTCTTCTTTAACATTGTACCTGCATTCCTCTCGTGGACTTTTGGCCTGAAATAAATTTCCATGTACACAGTTTATTCAGTTTCCAATCAACTTTGTGCACCTACTTTTATGTACTACACTAAAAGTTTGTGTAAATTAAACTAAGGGTATTTTTCTAAAAAAAATATAAATGTTTAGTATTCTTAAGTAAATTCATAAACCTTTTTTCTAAATAATGCATTAAAATATTTATGATTAATATAGAAAGTCCAGCACAATTATTGTGTTGCCTGGATGTTATGTGTTGGTAAAATAATAGAAAAAAGTGAAAAAATACTCTTTGAGCTGGAAAAGCACTTCTCAAATTTCTTGAATGTAAGCTACACATTTGGATTGCTTGATCAGTATATAAAACATAATAAGTGAAACTTGTATCTTAACTTACAACTGGTGTGGGAACAAATATTGGCTTATTTTGTTCTTCCCTGAAAAAGACAAAAAATAATATGTCAATATCCGGTATTGAATATATAAAAGTTTATATTGTTTACTTTCGTTTTCAAAGTACACAAAATTGTATGAATCAATTGTTGATTAATGCTGTCTTAATACTGACATTGATTTTCAGTTTAATATTAAATAAAATGATTTGCAAATCACTGGTATCATTTCTTTAAATGTTTATATGCAGAATGCATTTAATTCATAAAGGCTGTACAGTTTCCTATATAAAAATAAGAAGATGTGGTACGATTGCCAATGAGACAACTCTCCACAAGAGACCAAATGACACAGAAATTAACAACTTAGATCACTGTATAATTGCTTACATCCACTTCATTTGAACTTGGGTGGATAGTTGTCTCATTGGCAATCATACCACATCTCCTTTTTTTAATTTTAATACCAATGTATAAGAAAAAACATCCAATGATATATATGTAGATAGAGATTAACCGTTTGTATTATGAAGTATAAATGTATTTATTTTGATGGCATTTAATTTCCACATATTGTTGTCTTAATAGGTACATTGTACATGTTGTTCAGCCTGTTCATAGGTATTTTATTTTTCAGCACAGCATAATGTTCACAATGTTAAGGATTGAAGTACTTTTGACAGCTGTGTATTTACTTTTTTTATATAAATGTTTTCATTACTTGCTATTGTTACTTTGTATTTATTTTACAATTACAATATTGAAAATGTACATCTCTGCAGTTTTAATCAATTATATGAATATTCAATTAAACTCTACCTTAATTTTTGGTTTTCAAGTTTTAAGTTCATGACATCAGTTGTTGCCCTAGCTAGCTCTTTCCAAGCATCGTCTTTTCCTATGTCTTGGAAGGCTGATGGTGGTAATAAATCTATCTTTTCTTTCTGTCCATTCATTATTTTTTGTACTGGAAAACAAAAGAATCCTTCTTACACACTGAATATACTTTTTTAGTGTTAATTTGTTAAATTTTGTGAACACTTGACATTTGAAATAACATTTTATCATGTTTATCATTGCTTCATAAAATTGAATAATTTAATTCAGACTTAGTTACAAAATGTATTTAATATGCTTCTTCTTAAAAATTGATTGAATTTGGTATCCCTTAAAAGATAAACTGATTCTACACACAGATTTGGCAATTATCTATAGGTCCCTTCTGGTCATGTAGCTCTTCACTTGTTTCACTGTGAGTGTGACTTTGAGATGAAGAACAGCAATAAAAGCACTGTTCCTTTGCTTTTTGTGTGTTTTTTGCTGTGCATGTACTAATTTTAAGTCATAGATGGATACCCCATATCCTTTGTTTTTCTATTAAGTACTTTTTCCTCAAGTCTTTAACGGATAGTTGTCTCATTGGCTATCACACCCAATTTCCTTATAATATTAGCAAAATCTCTGTCATGTTTGGTTTCATTCTGTTTAATGGTTCTGAACAAGTTGAACACTTAGACATACAACAGATACCGACTAAGTGCAAAAGCTTACATGGCCTTCAGCAAGGTGAACTTATAAGACTAGATGACAACAAAAGTCAACAAAATACTAAAAAGTTAAAGATTGGGTAACAAGATTTCTTCCAAAAACAGGGCGAGATTAGCCTAGGTGCTCGGAAAGGTAAGTATTAACTGTTTTACTAGTATCAAACCTTGTGCTCATGGCAAAGTGATGTCATAATAGGTCATATTAATATCTAGGAAAGATGTACGTACATCAGGTGAAAACTATTGCTTGGTGAGTCCCAGGACATTTTTCAAGTTCATAAGGGGAGTCTATTTAATCTTTAGGTAATTATCCCCCTTATCAGTGCCAATCATTGCTCTAAAAACACACAATTCAAAAATCTTTCCATTTCTTTTCTTGAAATTTGAGACATATGTATTTTATATTTATCAATTAAATATCTGCATAGGTATATAAAACCCTAAATACCATTTATACTTTTTTTTTAAATAGGGGAAATGAACACAGGGAAAATTGATCTATTGCAATATTTTCATGATTTATGAGTGATTTCCCCCCTTAGAGGAGTTGATCTGAATTTTGAAATTCTTTGTTGTATAAACTGAACACCTCAAAACAAGAATTCAAATGAGTTGAAATGGTATTTAAGTACGTACATACTAATTCAAACAATATAAAATTACATTAAAAACATTTATGACAATGGAAGAGGAGCATAAGCCTACATGGAGATTTTGAGAAAGTTGGCAGGTATGGTCATGATGGTACAACAATCTCCCGAGAACTCCCCAAAACTCAATATGAACTAGAGAACCAATAGATACTATCTGAAAAACTCTTTCTTATATAGTATTTTACTGTTTTTACAGATAACAAAGACTAATATTTTTAGATATATGTCATTTTTACTCAATAAATGTATAATTCAACATCAGGAATTCAATATGTGTGTTTTGTATACAACTTCCTCGTAAAACAATATATCGGACGTATTTATTCGAAAAGTTAATAACTCTATCTAAATAAAAATTGAAAAAGAAATGACGTATTAGCTAGTATATAGATTCTTTAACAATTGAAATTTGAAAAGTAAATACATTATTTGGAAAACTTTAATAAAAAAAAATGATTATTCATAAGTACTTTTCATACCTATATTTAGATACGGTTGAGTTACCAGTATCAAGATACAATTACATCCGTCATATTGTTATACAAGGAACTTGCATACAAGAAATACACATACCGGTCAACCTATGAACATGAAAATGCAGGTCATGACCTGCATTGAAGAAGAAAATCTCAGGTCATGACGCGTACAAACTTTTTTTCAGTTGAATTTAAGTATTTAGGGGACATTTCTTTATAATTGAAAAGTTTCCAAAATATGTTCACATAGTTAAGTACTAACTGGAAATAATTTAAAACTTTAATTTTATTTTTTCATTGCATAATAAGCCATTGATATATTAATGTGTTATACTTTGTCATTTCAAGCCAAGCCATACCCCATCTTCTTGTTTCATTCATAGTTTTATATCAATTCTCAAGCCACTTGTTTTAAAGTATGTATCATAATGGCAAAGTTCGAAAGGAACTCTAGAGTAGATAGGATTGACATGGTCATATATAACACCTGTTAAGATTGATTATAGCTTTCCCGACATTAGAACTCGAGGAGCCCTGGATTTCAGCAGAGTTCCTTGAGGTCGAATCAATATCCCGGATGACGTCATTCCAATCAAATTTGAATGTCAGCATATTCAGAGTAGGGGCCTTGTACTTCCGGTAATCAAGAGACCGTACTCTACAAAATTGTTTACTGTTCATATGAAACTCTTGTCAGGACTCAGGTTCTTTTGATCTTGGCCAATGTGAAGGCTGTCAAAGATTTGTTGATATTGAAATATAATAAAAAAAAAATAAACATTTAAAGCTCATGAAGGAAGTAGAGATAAAAAAAAAATTTTCAAAATAATTTTTTAATTGTTCTAAGGTCATGAAGCGAAAGTAGAAAAATAAAAAAAAGTAATATTCTGATATGTATATTTGCATTCAATTTCTTTGAGATTTAATCTTTTTACAAAAATAAACATAAAATTAAGGAGTAGATCATGTAGATTGTGAAGGTGGAAAAAAAGGGGAAGTAACTCAAATTTATTGTCAAACAACTTTGAAATAGACAAATTATTTATGACCTTAAGCTAAGGTAATTGGTATTAATTAACAGTGTGTTTGACACCAAAGCTGTCAAGTGAAGTCATGCACTTAATGGGTCACTTAATTTGACAGTTAACACAGCTAGCATTGCTAGTTGAACTTCCTGTCCAGGAAAAATTACGAATTTGTCGGTATTTCAAAGAAAATCACCTATGAAATCAGTCTAAAGGCTCAAGAATCCAGGTGAAAACGGGTCATTTTCTGAATTCCCGGGTTATTTAACGACCCAGCGGGTATTCAAAAAATCATGTGTAACTGTATGGGGTGAAATTTTCAGGTATCACCCATAGGATACGAGTAAGTTGACAGGTATGCACACAAATCAAATTCCTGAAGTTAAATTGTACACTTATTGAGTAGAAATTACACATATATCTCTAATTTATAGTCTTATTTTCAATAAAAGCAGTATTGCACCAAATAAATAGAGTTTTTCAGTAATATCTATTTGTTCTCAGGTTAATTTTGAGTATTGGGTGTTCTCAGAATATTGTTGTACTCGGTATAGCTAGAGTCGATCTTGGTAATTTCGTACAGACGGGTAATTACCGTACATATTGCATTTTGCTTGTTTTTCTGATAAAATTGAGAAATAAAGTGTGTTTTAATATTATTATATGTATAACCTTGTATGTTCACGTTTTTACGATTTTCTATCATAGAATATGTACACATTTGCCGTTTGTCGGAAAGTTTTGTTCGCTGGCGTTTTAAGAAGATGATCTCGTCCAAAAAGTCACCAGATTTGTGTAAATTTTAAGTTTTGTTAATTTAAAGTAAGAACTTTCTATTTTAATCGAAATTTAGAAAACTGATGGAAACTGAATACCAGATATAGTTTTTAATTGACAGATACTTTTCCGTGAAGTATAAGTGCAATAATTTCCAATAAAACAGACTAGAAGTGGGTGTACGGTATTACCCTACAGGATATTTTAAATACAAATGGAAGGAGTCTAATATCGTACACGTCAGCTCTTAAATATGTTAATGTTCATTAAGTGATATAAATTTTGACTTAGCTTTGCTTATATCAATGATTTTTGTTAAATAATCAAATTAATTGCAAAATAAAATAAACAGAAAAAAAAATGCATAAAACAACATCAATTCTATATGAGAAGAAAGAGGTCAAGATATATTAATTTTGATTCTATGAACCACCAGTCCGCTGCCAATTGATTTATAGAGATAGACGACGACGTGTTTGCAAACTATTCCTCCTTAATTGCGAGGGTCCTCTGTGCCCCAGTGGTCTAAGTAGTCAGTCATCTCATATATCCCTAGCCAGTCAACACTAAGGTTGTGACTTCAAACCCCGCACATGCTTGGTAAGTGTGTTCGAATATTAGTTGACTTGGACTGTCAGTTTTCCTCCCGAACAAGAAAACATAAAAAAAATACCACAAAAAGTTGTCAAACAGCTATGAAAGATGTTAAATATAGACGTTATTAAGAAATGTTCCATGAGAATTGCTGCTGGAACAATTGAAGATGATGCTTTAATTCAGGAAGACCAACCGACTTATAATTAGTAATCAAAGTGATGGAAATCACTCATGGAAAGATTGGAAGAGAGTTTGAATAATTTCAAACCATGTTTAGGTATGGTGTGGACAAAACAGAACATTAATAAAGCACTATTGCTGACAATTGCATTAACCGCAGGTCTTTAGAAGGAAAAGCAATTTTACAGAAGATAAAATGAGCTAAATGTGAATCAAATTGAATTTCGTTTAAACTGCAGTTTATATCTTAACCAAATATTGGTCCCGGTTACATGTTCAAAAAAAAATTGTGAATCAAAGATTCTTCTAATATTAAGTTTACCAATTATCCTGGTAAGACATAGGACTGACAGATAGACTTGAAGCTAAGAATTGTATTGTGTTAAAAAATAATCTAAAAAGGTTGTTTTGGGGCATTTTGTAAGTTGAAACATAGGTATACTATTTTTCTCCTCTGAGAATTGCTTATTGATTTTGAAAACAATTATCATAATTATATGACATTGAAGATTAAAAGTTGTAGAGTGTATTTTAATCAATTTACAATTTAAATATCTTTCGGCAAAGGGCATTGAAAATGTACTTTTTCAACATAAACAAATTAAAAAACTTATTTGTTGAAATGTGGATTCTTTCTTGATTGCAAAAATATATTTACACTTCTTATATTCAAATGACTTAAATTGTTAACAGACATTTGATGGAGAATAAACTAAGGAAAAAATGGTTTGTTCTTATTAAGAGTTTTATAAATGAAATAACTGTTTCAAGCCAATCACTTATAAAAAACTAAGCGAACTAACCTAAATTGTTAATTACAGATGATTATTGCAGATTTATCAAATAAATCATAGGCCTTACTTGAATACCTTTTATATATTTATATTTAGATTTCATTTTATTTTTTTGCAAAAAAGATCTTGTTAATCCTTAATTAATCATTTGTCTTTCAGACAAAATTTACAGAATCACTTTTGTAGTGTAGATCAAAAGTAATAGGCAATGAATAAATCTATCATCTCTATATATCAAACATATCTAATATATGCATTTGTGTATTCAATTATGAGGTCAAATATTTGTGTATTGAGATGCTTATTGAAGGGTCTGTATAATTATGTAAGACTGAGGTTGATTACTTATTTAGTAATGTGGTCAATATGATTGGCATTTAAGGAGGTGGGGCATTGTAATTAAGGCCCCACCTTGTCTCTGATTGTTTGGTGATCATGACAGTTGTCAATCATACTAGTATTGTATCATTACTCAATTACCTAATCAAAATGATAAAAAAGCCTGCACATCAACACACCATAAAGACATACATACTTGAATGAACTGCTCCAAAACTATACCCCAATTTTTCACATTTTACATGTGCATATGTGCACAGACATAAGAACTATAGGGAACTATATTTCAGTGCATTTTATAGATTTAGTAGCTAACCTGTGCTTAGTTACTTGTTGTTAGGGAGGCCGGTGCCTTAGGAAAGATTTAGAACAAGTTCCAATCTTTCCAAAAACTGCTGCAGCCTCTCAGCTTACAATACGGGACTAATTTGTAAAGACCAGTTTGCTCAGAGTTAGAATTCTTTTCTGAATAGATTGACATGTCTTTCTTCGGACTGAACTAGAACGATAAAAACCGGATGAAGGTATCTGTCTATATAATACAAATCAGGGTCTATATTCATATCGCTTATCAAACTTAAGTCATGCATATCACATATATCGTCAAGTTCTCGTCCTGATGTCCATGTATTATTTGCAACTAAACGTTACTGTGTGTGTGTGTGTGTGTAAAACGTTACTGTCTGAAACACAAGTCCATTATAGTCATATCTAAATTCGTGCTAATAATTGAAGCTTTAATACAAACACAAATCTTAAGACACTTGCTTTTTAGTCCTTCTTTTGCAACTTTTGCATCTATACTCAATTTTGCCAATTTATAATCAAAATAGCAGTTAATTGAGATATCTTTTGACTGTTTATTATGTTGTATTCTGTGATCAAATATACTGCCAGAATCTACATCACGACATGAAGCTTTGATACTGTGAATTTAAGTAAAGATTGAAAGACTTGAAGATGATCCTGGTAATAAATTTACTAGTCCAAATTATTTCCAAATAGCAATCCTATTTTGAATTTAATCAATGTACGGAATTACACATCAAGGTGTACGGAAATACACAACAACCGTACGATATTAGCCACAGTGACTTTTCTGTTTTCGATATGCTCATTCTCGGTATTTTACGTTGAATGGCAAGGAAAAAGTCAAATATCAATACTATCTACGAATGATCTAGTTACCGGTTTCCTTCTAAAATATTGTAGTATCAAACAGGGAACCAAATGAGATTCATTTCGGACCAAAAGTGTACGGAATTACCCGGACCGACTCTATATAAACAGATAAATTTACTAACTTTAATTAGCAAAATGAATATGTGCCTTGTGACACAATCAATCAGCAACAAAATTTTCAAGTATTTATCTACAAGTAAACAGATAATAAAATATCTTTTGAATTTTTACATACACAAATATTATAAATATTTGCATTTATGATCATTTTACATTTATGACAGGTCCAAACATGACTTTGATATATAAAAAAAGTAAATCTGAGTTAATGCCTGCATGTTTGTTCATTAAATATAAATGACTACAATAACCAATATTTAAAATAAGTATTGAATGGTTTGTTTTAACTGTAACAGCCAATTTTGCTACCTGGTGGCTTAACTGAAAGAAAATGTGACGGGGTGTTCAAATTCTCCGCCATACTTGAATGCGATAATGCGGTTTAAAACAAAATAAATTTTAAGATTAAAAGATATGATTAACTATCTAATGAATTAATTGAATAAATAAATTAAATACTTTCAATCAACAATTTAATTCTATAGACTTTCCAGCGAAAGAAACAATCGCTGATAAGCCAGGGATACGAAACTACGATTTTTAATTCTCTGGACTTTACATTCGTGTATATCACCTTCGAACTTTTCGGATCTCATCTTTATCCAACTCTGAAAGATTTTACACTTTACAGTCATCTCCAACAGCTAAGGTGCTAGTGACAAATTATAATGCATTGACCATGTATCAAAAGTCTAAATTTGATCGTATCTTTGGGATTAGTGAGTCTAAAGGAGCTGTCTTTTGATAGTGCAGAATTTTCCAAAATTAGAGGGTGTAAAATAAAATTTCATTTCTCTGATGGTTATAGTTTAATGAATCTGTTCTATATATAGTTATGTGCATTTGCCTGATAATGGCTTTGGATTCTCATTGTATATATTTAGCGTTATTCCCAATGTATTAAAACTCTGCCCCTGACAATAAGGCAGGTGTAATCTGCGAAAGTCTCGGGATGAAGTACTTTTTATTCCAATGCAGTTGGTAATAGTTTGTCCCAATTGATCTCATGATGCTAAACTATGGTAACAGCATGGATGTTGTCTGTTCTGTTCTTTGATTGGTTGAACATGTCATTGTTCAATGTTGATGTTTTAGCATAATTTTGTGATGTACGGCAGGTGATTATAAGTTTTAACTATAGATACATGTATATCTGAGATAAAAACTATCTTTCAACAATGGTACTATTAAAATAATCTTGATAAATAGCTTTTTTACTACAGAGGTCGTAAACATTCAGACCATTTAACAAGATATGTGCACGCTACATAAAAAAGATTTATTTGCAGACTGAAAGTGAAATGTCACATCTTTAAAATGAAAACAGTCAGATAAACATGAAGGTATTGAAATGGCCATTGCCCAATGAAAAATTATTTCCAAACTTGCATGTTTTCAATTTGTCAATGTTTATTTGTTCTGCCTAACAGAACTTGAACAACAGAAAACCAGGTAAATGTCATGCTGGATTGTTGTCTAATTGATAAATATTCCAAATCTCCTTTTAATCATAATCTAATAATAATTAAAAAGCTAATTAGTTAAAAAACAGTTTCAAATTTTAAAGGAGGTTTTGCTCTTAAAAAAAACAGATAGATGTTGAAATCAAATTTACAGTTCTGAATAATACCAATTAAGTTAAATTAAGATCAACAAAATATAGTCATTTAGATCTAGTTTTTCCACTAAATAGTTATTTTGATTTCAACAGCCAATGATTTTAGAAGAAGCCATTCTGCTTTTTTATCAATATGGACAATTTGCATGACCAATCAAATGACGATGGCTATAAATTAATATTGTCCATTTTATTTTGTAGGAAATCACAAAGACCATGAAGACTGCAAGATTAAAAATGAATAATGAGGTAAGAGTAAAAGTAATAGAATGGATTGCTTAAGCTTTTACTTTTTTTTTTTTCACAACCACCTGCTCTTATTTAAAAAATAAGAGTAAAACACATTTTTATATTATCAAAACCAATCATAAATCCAGTGGCAAATATTACAATTATATCAAGATGAATTGATTGGCAAAAAATTAATGGCAGTATTCTCCACCAATATTATTATAAGTAGATGGTCATCTGCTAATTTCAGGAATTAGAAAAACAGTATAGCCCATCAAAATGGACACATAGATGTTCACCAGATGAAGTTGTTAAACAACATATAATGATCGTTGCTGAAGGTAAGATCTTACTTTTGTATAGGACTGTGAAAAAAATAAAGAACTCATAATTTGTCACAAATTATCTCATTATTCATGAAGCCAAACTTGATCCATGGACATTTTACAAACAAATTTAATATTAACCGATCTACCATGCTTTTTATAATTCCCAATACCTGAATACCAGCGGCGATCATACATCTCATAATATTCCTGATGCAACTTGAAGCAGTACCTCCGAGCAAAGTCAGTTGAACATGTCGACCATTAAAACTATTACTTTGCAGTAATTTATGAGTGTTGTTGTCTTTAATGTTGATAAATTATTTCAAAAACGATGAATGCTTTAATCAGAATTGTTGAGGTTAATCAATTTTACTCAGGTGCCTTTTTTTTTTCGTCTGAGGAATTTATCAAAAAAATTAAGAAGAGGAAGATCATTGTTAAACATGTTAAACTGACTACAACCACACTGGACTACAGCCTCCTGCCTTGGGACAGGTACATAAAAAATGTAAAAAAAATTGATCTCTTAACCCTCCCATAACAATAATAAACTGGGGCAATGGTATAACAACACAACATTAGAAAAAAAAAAGTAAAAAAAAGTTAAAAAGGGCATGCTCCAAAATTTCTATCTCCAGATTTCAAGTTGATAACCATTTTTATGCTCCATTTTTCTCTACATTTAAATATTGGCTGGTATTTTTTTTTTATCTTATATTCTTCTTCTTCTTCTGTATGTGCAACTTGTTATAAGATTTACTAGTAATAGATTTTGTGGTGATTTGTTCTCATGTTCATTGCTCAATAAAACATGATACATATAAATAATTAAAGAACATTATGTTTTCTTTACCTAAAATAGAAAGTGAGAAAGCGAAGTCAGAAATAGAGTGTCAGATAGATAGAATCTATGGTGATACAGAAAGACAGAAATTAGATATCTTTGGTGCTGACACACTTCCTGGGGGTAAGTTACTATAAATAATTATCAAATGTACATTTTTTTCTTTTTATAATTATTTTTACAATTTATATTTTAAAACCAGATTAGTTACTTTTCATACTTGTGAGATGTCATTACATGACTAATTAAGTTTTGAAGGGACTAGTGGTCTGGAGTACCCTTGTGCCCATATCTGTATCTGCATCTACCTCCACAGCCAGTTTTAAGATACTGATAGACATACAACCATAGTTATACTATACCACATGATAGTGTGCTAGTCCTGTTATAAACCTTGTCATACAACCATAGTTATATCATACCACATGATAGTGTGCCAGTCCTGTTACAAACCTTGTCATACAACCATAGTTATACCATACCACATGATAGTGTGCCAGTCCTGTTACAAACCTTGTCATACAACCATAGTTATACCATACGACATGATAGTGTGCCAGTCCTGTTACAAACCTTGTCATACAACCTTAGTTATACCATACCACATGATAGTGTGCCAGTCCTGTTACAAACCTTGTTATACATCCATAGTTATACCATACCACATGATAGTGTGCCAGTCCTGTTACAAACCTTGTCATACAACCATAGTTATACCATACCACATGATAGTGTGCTAGTCCTGTTACAAACCTTGTTATACATCCATAGTTATACCATACCACATGATAGTGTGCCAGTCCTGTTACAAACCTTGTCATACAACCATAGTTATACCATACCACATGATAGTGTGCTAGTCCTGTTACAAACCTTGTTATACATCCATAGTTATACCATACCACATGATAGTGTGCCAGTCCTGTTACAAACCTTGTCATACAACCATAGTTATACCATACCACATGATAGTGTGCTAGTCCTGTTACAAACCTTGTTATACATCCATAGTTATACCATACCACATGATAGTGTGCCAGTCCTGTTACAAACCTTGTCATACAACCATAGTTATACCATACCACATGATAATGTGCCAGTCCTGTTACAAACCTGTTATACAACCATAGTTATACCATACCACATGATAGTGTGCCAGTCCTGTTACAAACCTTGTCATTCAACCATAGTTATACCATACCACATGATAGTGTGCTAGTCCTGTTACAAACCTTGTCATACAACCATAGTTATACCATACCACATGATAGTGTGCCAGTCCTGTTACAAACCTTGTCATACAACCATAGTTATACCATACCACATGATAGTGTGCCAGTCCTGTTACAAACCTTGTCATTCAACCATAGTTATACCATACCACATGATAGTGTGCTAGTCCTGTTACAAACCTTGTTATACATCCATAGTTATACCATACCACATGATAGTGTGCCAGTCCTGTTACAAACCTTGTCATACAACCATAGTTATACCATACCACATGATAATGTGCCAGTCCTGTTACAAACCTGTTATACAACCATAGTTATACCATACCACATGATAGTGTGCCAGTCCTGTTACAAACCTTGTCATTCAACCATAGTTATACCATACCACATGATAGTGTGCTAGTCCTGTTACAAACCTTGTTATACATCCATAGTTATACCATACCACATGATAGTGTGCCAGTCCTGTTACAAACCTTGTCATACAACCATAGTTATACCATACCACATGATAGTGTGCCAGTCCTGTTACAAACCTGTTATACAACCATAGTTATACCATACCACATGATAATGTGCCAGTCCTGTTACAAACCTTGTCATACAACCATAGTTATACTATACCACATGATAGTGTGCCAGTCCTGTTACAAACCTTGTTATACATCCATAGTTATACCATACCACATGTAATGTGCCAGTCCTGTTACAAACCTTGTTATACATCCATAGTTATACCATACCACATGATAGTGTGCCAGTCCTGTTACAAACCTTGTCATACAACTATAGTTATACCATACCACATGATAGTGTGCTAGTCCTGTTACAAACCTTGTCATACAACCATAGTTATACCATACCACATGTAATGTGCCAGTCCTGTTACAAACCTTGTTATACATCCATAGTTATACCATACCACATGATAGTGTGCCAGTCCTGTTACAAACCTTGTCATTCAACCATAGTTATACCATACCACATGTAATGTGCCAGTCCTGTTACAAACCTTGTTATACATCCATAGTTATACCATACCACATGATAGTGTGCCAGTCCTGTTACAAACCTTGTCATACAACCATAGTTATACCATACCACATGATAATGTGCCAGTCCTGTTACAAACCTTGTTATACATCCATAGTTATACCATACCACATGATAGTGTGCCAGTCCTGTTACAAACCTTGTCATACAACCATAGTTATACCATACCACATGATAGTGTGCCAGTCCTGTTACAAACCTTGTCATACAACCATAGTTATACCATACCACATGATAGTGTGCTAGTCCTGTTACAAACCTTGTTATACATCCATAGTTATACCATACCACATGATAGTGTGCCAGTCCTGTTACAAACCTTGTCATACAACCATAGTTATACCATACCACATGATAGTGTGCAAGTCCTGTTACAAACCTTGTCATTCAACCATAGTTATACCATACCACATGATAGTGTGCCAGTCCTGTTACAAACCATGTCATACAACCATAGTTATACCATACCACATGATAGTGTGCCAGTCCTGTTACAAACCTTGTCATACAACCATAATTATACCATACCACATGATAGTGTGCCAGTCCTGTTACAAACCTTGTCAGTGGTTGTCTGTAGTTATATACTGTAAACAGGCAAATTTTAAAGGCAGTAATATTTTCGCAGTAAGAATTGAAACAAGAAAATAAAATGACCTCAAAAGTTTTAAGGAAAATCTATTCATAAGATGAAGACCATACATGTACATATATGAATAGGATATGTAGAGGACCACTGTATAACACCTATTTTACAGATGACAGATAAATACCTCAAATCATAACTGTATTTCTAAATGAAAAGCTATTTTAGAGAACATAACTTTAACTCAAGTTAATAATATTAACATGGAAGACATCTCAAGCATGCAGACATTATGGACATTGTTTTTTAAACAACACTCCTTATGAATATGTAAATGACACCTGTCAATCAGTTTTAGAATTATTATTTCATTGTATCTGCCACACATCTGATCTAAAGATGGATTAATGAATCCTGACAGCATTGTATTCACTCTTAATTAGGTCTTCTTTTCTGTTTATTGTGTATGTATTTTTACAAGCAAACATGACATAACTTTTAATCTACTTTAATAACATTAATGAACCAACAAAAAAGATTTCTAATTGATTTTATCACTTGATTTACGATACATGTAAACCTGTTTACTTTCTAAATCATTTATGAAAATATTTATATAGGCCACGGGGATATCTCTAGTTCAAAACGGTGCAAATTTAGATAATGTTAATAAATCCCAAAAAAAGATGGCGTAAAAATTTCTCTGTTTATAGTATTCATCATGTTTTTATACCCCCGCTTTAAAAAAGTTGGGGTATACTGTTTTACCTCTGTCTGTCTGTCTGTCCGTACGTCCGTCCCATGAATATCTTTCGTCGCATCTTTCTCTGGAACTACATCATAAGGATTTCTGAAATTTGGTTTCAGGGTTTATATAAGTCAGCTATACCGTGTGATGTGTTTTCAGATTCATCACTCAACAACTTCCGTTTACCGAACACTTACATATTTTTACACTATTTAAATTATCCAGTTGTGGCGGGGGTATCATCAGTGAGCAGTAGCTCGCAGTTTCACTTGTTATTTTTGTCATTTGGGGAATTGATGGCTCATATCTCGTGTTTTTTGTAAAATTTATCCATTACTTTTCAGGGGGACTCTGACAGAGCTCTATTATTGAAACCAATATTTAGTTCTTTAAATGTCAAAGATTTATTAACAATTAAATAACAAATAGGGGTGGTGTACCTTATAAAATTCCCCAAGTGTACTACCAATTCCGTAGCAAAATGAATTGCTATTTTGTCAATTCATTATATATTTCTGATTATTATAAAGATTTGCACTAAGTCTTGAATATTTTGCAGATGCTCCTATATTTTTATATATACATGGTGGATATTGGCAGATGATGGAGTAAGTTGCTATTCACTAAGCTACCTCCCTGCTAATAAGTTACAGTAACAGTATTAAGACTGAAACCAGAAATAATACATAGAAAAACCTACAGCTCCATGCAGAGGTTTTCTTTAAAGCAACAGATATTGAACCAGAGAATGGTATATGTTTAAAATGGAGGAGATGTGGTATGGTAGCCAATGAGACAAGGATGTAAACAACCTTATACAGGTCACCATATAGCCTTCAGTAATGAGGAAACCCATACTGTATAACAGGTCGCCATATAGCCTTCAGTAATGAGGAAACCCATACTATAACAGGTCACCATATAGCCTTTAGTAATGAGGAAACCCATACTGTATAACAGGCTTTAAAACACTCCTGAATAGCAAAAAAAATATCCGAAAGGGACAATTAACATCCTGATTTGTGTAAATAACATTTGATAGGAGAAAAACAACCCTTGCAGACCTCAAATTAAAAACAACCACTGGACTACAGGCTCCTGTCTTGGAACAGGTACATAAAGAATGCGGCAGGGTTAAACATTTTTGTGGGTGCTCAATCAACCGTCCTCTTCCCCTAGCTGGGATAGATGTGAAACTGCACAATATTAGAACATACTAAAAAAATCAATTGAAAAGGACTTGACTCAAAAACAAGTAACAAAATGACTTTACTGTTATATAACAGCTGAACCGTTACTCCCTGTACTTGTAATTTACAACTTTGTAGCATGTGTTTTAAGGTATAAGGTGACTTTAAATCATAAAGTCTATTATAAATGATAACAGAAATTAGAGGTCAAGTAAAATATCTGTATAATAAGTTTAAAGGCAACATGATTGATCTCAAGATATCTGTAAATCATAGGATTTGTCAATTACTTTTAACATGCAAAGAATTATGCACAGGTTGTAAACAATAATGTTTTCTTGTTTAAGTCGAGAAATTTCAAGTTTTATGGTACGTCCAATCTGTAAGGCGGGAGCTGTAGTAGTTGTTATTGGATATGACCTAGCACCAAAAGGTAGGTTAAAAATAAAAAAACATTTATTATTCCAATGCTTTAAAATTTATACTATTGATATGGGGGTAATGACAAAAATATTAAATTAAGTATTTTTTAAATTGCTTTATTCAACTGCTAGCTTTATTTCACATTTTAATCAAAATAAATCTGTAAGGTTTAGAGCAGCATTCTGTAATTTACTAAAAGTTTTATATCCATTTCCTGAGCCAGCCAAAATGGAATATTATAGTAGTAATTAATGGGTGCTTTCATAATGGCCCTGTAATGTGTCCAAGGTCTGTTATAATGGTCGAGGGTGCCTGTAATAGCACAGGGCAACACCGAGGGACATTACAGCCTCTGAGGCCATTATTACTGACTGAGGACAAATAACAGGGTCAATTTGAAAACACCCATTTCTTAACACTTTTATCAACCAAACGGTCAATGTGTAATATTTAACCAAGCCAAATCAATTTTTTTTTTTTTTAGAAATTGTATATAATTATACCAAATGCATATTAAAAAGAAACTTTTAAAGTGATGTGATGAAATAACATGTAAATATAAATGTAGTTTTATTGTTGTCCTATTCAAAGCAATTTATGGCATACAAAATACAAGATTTCATTCTGGATTTTTAAAACTAAAATTAAATAAATTGATAGACATCATGGAATGTATTGTGTAATTATTAACTTGACAATTGGGTCAAATATGTCATTATTCTTTGGAACTTTCAATTTCTTGATGTTTCTTTTCCCCAGAAATGTATTTGAATTGATAACAACTGAAAATCTGTTATAGCCCTGATTATTCATAATGGCCCCATGTTATTCATAATGGCCCTTTATTAATGCCCTGTTAGTCTGTAATAGACCGGTTTCGCTTTTATTAATAAAGGGGCTGTTTCATGCATAATGCACTAAACTGGTTAATACATGTAGTATTATGTCATCTATATGAGAGCAGAAAACAGTAGAAACCATTATTTCAGTTTTAAACTCCCATCATTGCTTAAGAAGGAATTTTTGGCCAGAATTAAAATGTTTCAAGATATTTTATAATGATTTATAAAAATTGTGTTTAGGAAGATTGTTATATATAGATTCTTACATTGATACCAGTGGATTATCGGATTTATCCAATCGAGATAGTTAAATTATCAATTTTAAAGTCTGAGCCATGGCGAGGACTTTAAAATTTATAATTTAACTATCGAGATTGGATAAATCCGATAATTCACAAGTAACTATGTAAGAATCTGTTTCTCTAATAATTAAAAAATACATTTTCATTTTTGGTTAAACCAAAACCCCCTTCGAGTGCCTTCCACATTTCACAAAGTTGTCAATTTCATTAACACCTGTTAGCATATTTTGAGCTGATAAAGGTTATGACCCTTGAATTCATCCAATCATCTTCTGAGATCACCGGCAACCACACGTTGATTAAATTTTTTTTATACAATGAGTGCAGAAAGGTATAAATTGTCAAAGTATTAGAGAAATAAGGTTTCATTGCAGGGTTCAATATAATTTTCATCATACATATTTCTTTCAGTGTCCATTTCAGAAATAGTCAACCAGTGTAAAAAAGCTTTGTCATATGTATTTAACTTAGCTTCACATAGAGGGTCCAGGTATGTAATAAAATAAGAAATTTACTTACTTTCATTACAATAGACGCTATGCATTTTATTTATACAGTCAAACTATCTAAACCAAATCCAGCATGAACTGTAAACCTTTACTGACCAGAACAATAAATACCAGTATTCTTTAGAAAATAGAATCTGAAGAATGAACATATGTATAATCAGATGAGAATCCAATACTGAAGGGACTAAAGGTGTAGTTATGACAGTATCCATTGTAGCTGCCTTATTGTTGAAACATTTGTAGAATAAGAGTTGTCATAATAAAGAGTTTTATGTGGGCACAAACCATATCCTTTCGATATAAGCTTATGTTCTTACTGATCAGAATGTTCATATATCAATAATAGGATATGGGGGCATATACATCAATAGGTAAAGAACACTACACACAGATAAAAAAACTCGTGTGAGTTGATTCAATAATGTCTTTGTATTTCCTTTGATAAACACAAAAATATTTAAACATAATATTACCATACCTAATTTGTTTTTACAGTGGAGTTTACATTGGTGGACATTCTGCCGGAGGGCATTTAGCAGCTATGATGCTATCTGTTGATTGGATGTCTGAGAGTATGCAGTCTAATTCAATGATAAAAGGTAGGCTGTAATTGGATGTCTGAAAGTATGCAATCTAACTCGCTGATAAAATTTAGGCTGTGATTGGATGTCTGAAAGCAGTCTAAATCACTGATAAAAGATAGGCTGTGATTGGATGTCTGAAAGTATACAGTCTAACTCACTGATAAAGGTAGGCTGTGATTGGATGTCTGAAAGTATGCAGTCTAACTCACTGATAAAAGGTAGGCTGTGATTGGATGCCTGAAAGTATGCAATCTAACTCACTGATAAAATTTAGGCTGTGATTGGATGTCTGAAAGTATGCAGTGATTTGATATCTAAGTGTATGAAGTCTGACTCCATGATAGCCTGAGTTGATTTGATCCTTCATGGACCTTATCAGAAGCAGAAAGATGGATAAAAGATGCACACTTTTTCAATGGTGTCTTGAAGTTATTAGTTCTGTATAATTTAAGTCTTCATTGTGGATCATTATCAACTTGGTAATGTATTCTTTCTTAATTCATCTTTAAATTGTTTACTTTAAAAGCAACATCTCAACCAAGATTTAGCAGTACTAAGACAATTAAACAATGTTATATGGTACACAGATTTTGTCTGTCTACTGTCTACATGATAGTTAGAGCCTTGTTAGGGACACATGCCTCAAGTAATGTTTGTTCTCATCTATTTGCCAACATTGAATTTAAGAGCTGAATGAAACAAATTCTTAACCAAATCCTTTTGTTATAAAAAAGTGAGTCAAAAATAATTTTAAGCACTAACAGTTTAATTGTTGAATATTGAATTTTATTTAGATTAAGACTACTTTATTTTATAGGTGCATTATTAGTGAGTGGTATATATGACCTTCAACCTTTAGTAAATACATCTGTAAATAATCCTCTCAAAATGACACAGTAAGTTATTTAATCTGTATAACTGTATATAAATGATATGCATGTAAAGGAAGCAAGGGTCAATTGAATTCTTCCGATGAACATATCTTCACTAAACTATAAAAGCATGCTGAAAATGAAGACTTCATAAGACATTTACTTGATATATAGTATTTGGCAAACATTAAAAATGTTTCAATTGTCTTAGAGAAGAAAATATATGAATCAGTAAAAAATGGATAAAAGATTCAAGTTGCCTGGTTGCACAGAATGTTTCTGAAACAATGAAGAATTATCTATAATGAACATTTAGATATATGGAAATAACAAATGTCAAAACATGGGAAATAAATCCATAAACATTTCCTTAATGGGAGGTGCTTAACTTCAATGAGTATGTAAACTTTTTGTGAAGTTTTATGGGGTGTTAGTCCAAAGAAATTGGCAGGATGAGGAAATTCTGCTGTAAAATGTATTATATCCCAAGTTTGGAAAAAGTTCATCAAGACATTCCATAAAAGCAGCTAGACAACTTCAATATAAATATAAATATGCAGTGTTCAACCCAGGTCATTGAACATTCTATGAAGTATTGCCCATATATTTAAGTTGTCACAAACTTCAGAGATATTTCAGAAAAAATAAAAGGAAAAGCATTGGTAGGCACATTGTTTAAAACTCACTCTTCATGCATGTTTGGAAAAGAAATTTGGATGTTAACTGTCGGCAGTGAAAGAGGGTCTTCAGAAATACTGTGAAACTGTTTACTTGCATAGTGGTATTAACACATATGTGGATTCTAAAAAACTCTAAAGAACTTCTGGATAATTTCAAATCTCGATCTTTCTCTGTAATTAATTCTATCAAAACCTTTGATTTTTCAACCCCGTAAACCACCATTCCCCATGTGAAATTAAAAAAATTGTCTAAAAGAAATAATCCACAATGCTTTTCATTATAAAAATGGTAGCATACACTATAAATTTATTACTTTGGGATATCATAACGGCAAATTTTGTTAATAGTGAAAAAAAGGTAAAACATGCTACACAGAGGAACAAGTGATCAGTATGCTGGAGTTTCTTATTGACAAGTATTTGTTGAATTTGGAAGTTGACTTATTCAGCAAATTGTCGGCATTCCTATGGGAACGAACTGTGCGCCTCTCCTTGCTGACCTCTTCTTATTTTCATATGAGTCGGAGTTCCTTCAGACACTTGTCAAAAACAAGAAGATCAAAGAAGCCAGATCATTTAATTTCACATTCAGATATATTGATGATGTTCTTTCCATTAACAATCCAAACTTTTCTGATTGGGTTCCAATAATATATCCTCCAGAACTAGAAATTAAAGAAGCAACAAACATGGCTTCCTCCCCCTCATTTTTGGACTTATACCTCGAATTTGACATAAGGGGTCATCTCAGTACCAGAATCTATGACAAACGAGACGATTTTAATTTTGAAATTATCAATTTCCCCCACCTTAGTAGCAATATACCAACTTCACCTGCATATGAGATATACATTTCCCAACTCATTCGGTATTCAAGAGCTTGCAGCTGCTACTCAGACTTTATAAAAAGTCACCAGTGTTTGAGCAGAAGGTTGATGAACCAGGGTTATGCCAAAGAACGTCTCATCCTTTTTCTAAAAAAGTTCATAGGAAGATACCAAGACCTTGCTGATTAATATTCCGTATCAACTTCACAAAAAATACATGATGGTCTTCAAGTATAGATTCTAGGTACTGACGTTGTTTATCATCTTATTTACGTGTTATAGCGTTCTTTTATTTGTCTTTGTAAATTATTAACCTTTACTGTTTAGTCCATTTTTGGTAATATAGAATAGAATTTGGATCAGTGTAGCAATTATATCTATTATGCAGGGAAACAGCTTGGGAAAACAGCCCATTGAAACATTTAGACGCAATAAAGAAAACAAGTTCTCATAGGCACATTATTGTAGCTGTGGGGCAGCATGACTCACCAGAGTTCAGACGTCAAAGTCAAGAATTCCAACAGGTTTGTATACACACATTCTCTTAAAACTTGCAGAATAGGATCTTTTGATTACCTCAAAGTAGCCTACAAAAAATGTATATAATTTATTTGTACTTAGTACTAAAAAATAAAGGAAAACTTGATAAACCTTTTTTTCACAACCTTTTAGAACCATGATGATCAATTTGGAAAAGAAAAATGTAAAAAAACAAAAGGATTGTAGTCAACTCAAATAAAATATAAAGTTATGATGATTATACATTAATTTTTGTATGGTTTGTAGAAATTAAAAGATGGTGGTTTATCATCCCAATATGTTGATGTTGCTGATACAGATCATTTTAATGTGGTAGAAAATCTACAGAATGAAGATTATGAATTATTCAAAGTAAGTGAAAATATATACCATAAGGAATATTACTTTTTATATACTAATAAAAAAGAGATATGGGGTATATATCAATGAGACAGCAATCTAACAAAACTATATGGCTAAACAAGATTAATTTTTAGTACAGAAAGAAAAAATCATCTGTATTTATATATATATTTTAAACATATTCAATCCAGTGATTTTTTCTCGTTGTAAAGTATTCTTTACATGTCTGTCAATCTTTTTTTCAATGTGTTGTTGCCTGAACAAAGTCTTCAATTCTTGTTAAAACCACTTTCAAGTTTAATGATGGGTTTATTTCATCTAACCCTTTTCACTTTGATAATCAGAAAAAGTGAAATGTGAAACTTTTTTTCTTTTTTGGGGGACAACTGATAAAAAAAAATCACAAAATTATTTCCTTGTCATTTTAAATTTAAAAAAAATATACCAGTGTATTTTTCCAAGTTCTTATGGACTGTTTTTTTTTTTAACAAAATACATGTATATAGTAAATATAACTGTTTTTAGGAACTGATAAAGATGATGAAGTTGAATATTAATGATGTAGTTGATGATATGGCCAAGACATCATGTAACTGAAACATTTATAGACACAGTATAGATATTATCAGGATATGAACATTCAATGGTTGTTATAAGTACCTTATGTATTGTTAATTCTTTCACTGTAATTAGTACACATTTTTGTACATTTAGAATTGAGAATGGAAACAGGTAATGTGATTCATATACTTTTGTGTTCAAAACAAAAGCATATTATTTTGTATAAAAGTGCTACATATTTGGTACTGTAGTCAGATTTAATTTTTATGGCAGTTTTGAATCAAGATTTCTGGTGGTTTATATACTATTGTTATATTTGAATTTTTATATTACATAAAGAATGTTATGCATAATTGTGATCTTTGAGATTGTTCAGAATGATTATAATTCACTTACAGATGAAGTCTTCCATTATATATTGTATTACATGTATAGTTTGAATTAAGAATTTGTATGAAAGCTTAATGTATGACTGTTATAGCTGAGATTGACAGCCAACTGATTATGTTAGTTAAATGTTCAAGTTATAGAAAAATAATTGATAATTTGTGTTTACAATATTACTTATGTTAATTGGACCAATACCAGATATTTATAAGATGTGTATTACAAAAATAAGACTTAGTAGTCATAATTTGGCTATAACATGTGGCCATTACTCTGCAATTTTTAGAAGAAGAGACTCTGTCTTTTTGTAATGATGACATTGAAGATGAGATACATTTCATTTTGAAATGTCCTACATATCAAGGTTATAGATCTTATTTCATTAAATTTTATTATTGGAGAAAGCCTTCAATGTATAAATATATACAATTAATGAATTCAAATGATTAGAGAGAGCCATGTTGTTAGGTAAATTTATATTTAAAGCACAGATCTGACATATTCTAATATGTTTCACAATACCTTCTGCTATTCTATATATACTATGAGTATTTTATATTGTATGCCTATAGTTGATATGACTTTGGTTAATAAAAGTAAATATTTTTTATCATAAAAAACCCATCATGATCTTCATTTTCTAACTATTCACTGTTATGAGTGTTAATAACAAAGAAAAACTGAAAACTTGTGGGTAATTTGTTTAGGCTGATTACATCACTGAATTGATGAGACCCTATTCTAGATGGGATCTGTTTCTGATTTTAAAAAAAATAGTGGAAAACTATGTATGAAATGTTGGTATTTATTTATTCATATTTGGTGCAAAGTGGTTATAAACAACCAGATGTTATATTACAGAATGCTTCTTTACTTGTTCTTTTTTATATATATATATATATATTGATTTTTGTTTATGCCTTGATAATCATGTTTTTTTCTTATACATTAATCATAGAACAGTATATCTAATATACAATTTATTTTTTAAACCAATAATTATGTAATTGTTGCCACAGAGTGTTTTTTGTTGTTGTTGGTATTCATCAAATGATCACATGTAGAGTAGATATCATTATCTCCCCCATTTGAATTTTATATATAAGTATGCTCCCATTTAGATACTGAACAGAAGGAAATTTCTCTACCCAATTAAATTGAATTACTGCAGAACTTTTTGGAAGGTAATTTTCCTTTCATTTTACTTTAAATATGTCTATAGAAAACAATGCACAAAAATGAAGACTATAGAAAACAATGCACAAAAATGAAGTCTATAAAAAACACTTATATGGAAAATGTTTCTATGTCCAGTAAATATTTTCTTTTCACAATTTCAAAGTGTTTGCTCTGATAATACATGTAGCTTCATATTACACATCTTTCATTGAGTAAGATATATTTTAGAATGCTTAAACATTCCATATATATATTGTTAAAATATACTTTTTCACTCATTTGGTCTTTTGGAAAATGTTGTTTGTGCTGTTTTTAGACCCCTCTACCAAGAAATTTGTTTTGCATGCACAAGTATAAAAATTGTGGTTTTTATCCAACGCAATCATAGGTTTGAACGTTGTTTTCAATTTTTAGACTTGTATATACATATATATATATATATAAATATTCAACCATTTCCACATTTAGCTTGTTAATTGTATATTTTACAAGTCTGTAAAACAGCATTAAATCTATAACTTGCATTTAATGTGGCTCATATATTAGCCACTGGGCATGTATAAAGAATGATAATATATAATGAGAGCTTTTATACTTAATAATTAATAGAATACCTAAAAGTTACAAAAAACTGAATAAATATAAAAATATAGATTCAGAGTCATTCATTGTATTCACTTTAATGTGACATACTAGTTTTCCAACATAAATGGCTGTTTACGTAGGATGTATCACTGGTGAAAAATATTGTACCGTTTCTCACATACATTGTAGATCAGGATCATAATGAATAAATGGAGACATGGTATATACCAATAAGACAGCAGCTCAACAGCAAAAAATAACCAAAAAAATATTCAGAGGTCAACATACAGTCTTCAACAATAAACAAGCATCCTTTAAATATGTCAAGCTCTAGATCATCCCAAGTTTACATATGTTGTGAATAACAGAAACAATCAAAGATCTGTCATAAACACAGATAGCTTAATTTCATTAATGGAATGAATTATTTTGAATAACTTGCACTATGATAGCACAAAAAGTGGTACATGTACACCCCAAACTACAAGACTAACCAGTGATTTGTTGTCTAACAGTCCTATATGTTAGACAAAGCATCTAGTTTCCTTGTAACAAACTAATATTCACACCCAAACTTACAAAATTTTAAGCTTAGTTACTAGTAACTGATCAGATCTCTTTTGCATTTTATGAAAAGCCCTTTAATAAGGTTTCCTCTGGTTATTGAGGACTGTTTGCTGGACAGGCATTCCAGCTGTTTCCGAGCAATAACTTGTGAAACTTTGAACCAATGATTTTCAAATTTTAATATGTTATTGATAATAAAATGGAGGTCAAGTTTGATATTGACGATTTTTCTTTTCCCATTCAGGAGTTATAGTCCTTGATTGATTGGAAAATGGCAATCAATGATCAAGGTTGAAGTTACGTGAGTAGGTCTGTTTCTCAGATACTATATGTGGGATATGGGTTGATAATTGTCTCATTGGCAATCATACCACATCTCCTTATTTTTATATGGAATGATTGTAAGAGGAACATGTCATTCTGGCAGATTTCATCTGACCTTGACCTCATTTTCATGGATCTTTAAAAATGTTAAGTTTATCTGATACTTGTAGTAAAACCTTTATCTCTAAGACTTTCAACATAGAATCAATGCTCAGTGAAACAGACGAGACATTTCAGCGTGTGCACTCTTTGTTATATTTTAATATGTCACTGAAAAAAAAATGAAGTTTGAAATTGACAACTTTCACTATTGCCTTTCAGGAGTTATGGCCCTTAATTGCTTTTACTATGACCCATATAAACGGAACAACAAACTTGCACACGCTGAAATGTCTCGCCTTCTTTTCTAACCATTGATTTTATGTTGATAGTCCTAAATATAAAGCTGTACTACAAGTAACACATAAGCTTAACATGATCCAAGAAAATGAGGTCAAGGTCCGATAAACCAAACGAGAAATACATGTACACCTTACAATCATTCAATAAACCAAACATAGTTGACCTATTACTTATAGTTTCTAAGAAACAGTCTTAACCAAGAAAACTTAACATTGACCAATGAACCATGAAAATGAGGTCAAGGTCAGATGAACCATGCCAGACAGACAAGTACACCTTACAATCAATTTATGCATTAAATATAGTTGACCTATTGCTTATAGTATCTAAGAAACAAACTTAACCATGAAAACTTAACATTGACCAATGAACCATGAAAATGAGGTCAAGGTCAGATGAACCCTGCCAGACAGACATATACACCTTACAATCCTTCCATACAACAAATATAGTTGATCTATTGCTTATAGTTGAAGAAAAACAGACCAAAACACAAAAACTTAACACTGAGAAATGAACCGTGAAAATGAGGTCAAGGTCAAATAAAACCTGCGAGACTGACATGTACATCATAAAATATTTCAATACACCAAATATAGTTGACCTATTGCATATAGTATTAGAAAAAAAGACCAAAACTCAAAAACTTAACTTTGACCACTGAACCATGAAAATGAGGTCAAGGTCAGATGACACTTACCAGTTGGACATGTACACCTTACAATCATTCCATATACCAAATATAGTAGACCTACTGCTTATAGTATCTGATATATGGACTTGACCACGAAAATTTAACCTTGTTCACTGATCCATGAAATGAGGTCGAGGTCAAATGAAAATTGTCTGAGGGGCATGAGGACCCTGCAAGGTACGCATATACTAAATATAGTTATCCTATTACTCATAATAAGAAAGAAATTAACATTACAAAAAATGTTGACTTTTTTTCAAGTAGTCACTGAACCATGAAAATGAGGTCAAGGACAATGGACATATGACAGACGGAAACTTCGTAACATAAGGGATCTATATACAAAGTATGACGCAACCAGGTCTTCTAGCTTCTAAAATACAAAGCTTTTAAGAAGTTAGCTAACGCCGCCGCCGCCAGATCACTATCCCTATGTCGAGCTTTCTGCGACAAAAGTTGCAGGCTCGACAAAAACCCAGTATGACGTTATTTGATAGGATTATTCCCCTTTTCTATATCTACCATCTGTACAAGTATAATTTTAAACCAACTAAGTAAAATCAAGTTACATTCTGGAAACACATTTTTTTTACAAAATATTTTATTTTTGGTAACAATGACCTTGACCTTTGACCTTATGACTCCAAAATCAATAGGCTTCATTCCCTTCCCTATATCGTTCAACCTTGAACTATTGACTCTCAAATCCATCAGCTTCTCCCCTTACCTATGTCTTCCATTTATGTAAGTCTGTTCCAATGAAGGATGGGGAACTCAAGTTACCATGCAGATACATGTTTCAGACACACAGATGGAGGGAAGGACATTAAGATGGATGGATTTTTTATCAAAAAAGATGTGGGATAATACAGCAAACTAACAACACAAATTACTAAAAGACATCCAGAGGTCATTACTTTTAAAAAGTTTCAAATACATGTATTTGAAGATATTAAGTATGTCAACTTTAATTTATATTTGATACTTGAGGTATAGATACATACTTGTGGTATAGTAATCTCAGACACTTGTAATTTGACTTTTGTATCATAAACTTTTAATATAATATTCAGAAATATTCCATTATGCAGGTGAGAACTTACATTCCTTTTTCTTATAAGAATGACATCACAAGTCATTGAGATTGGCTAGAAATTTACTTTTCCACCATTCATTTAATTCCAATACCATTTAAACAAAGAACAAATTGGTCATATCAAAATGTTTTATTATTATAAATTACTAACACAGATAACATTAAAAAAGAATAAAAAAAAATTGATGTGTATCTATTAATACAATGCACATATTTATCTTTAGTGTAACAGTACAACCTTGATTGAATTTAATACATTTACCTTCATTTTTGGTTTTATTTATAAAGTTTATTACAATGACAGTACATAGATTAGATTAAACTTGTCATAAGGAAAAAGTACATTTTGCTGCATTTTTGGTCTTGTAAATTCACCAAAATAAATGAAATTGTAAGATACTATTATTCAACACATTTTCCATCAAACAGAGGAATGAAGTAAATGTAAATATAAGCTTTGGAGCGATGCCAAAGTTCAGCTGTGACTTAAATAAAATGAGGTCAGACCAAATATTTGCAGTTTCTAGCCAAAATTATCTATGTTCAGGAATATTTTTGCCTAATTTGAATTATACTTTAATAACATTCTTTTATCTATTAGTAGATGTAAGTACTTCTTTATAGATAAATTCCATAGAAGTCAAATAATATTAACCAACCAAACCATAACATTATTATACAAATACAAACATAAAAACATAAAATACTTTCCAAATATTGTAGAATATATTTATATATATAAAACAAACAGTGTTTTGGTTTTTTTATACAACTAAACATGTTTTATAGACTGTAAATCACTATATACATTATAATTCATATTTTCAAAGACATGAAATTAAAACAGGCTTTATAGGAAATATCAGACAGTCATCTACACATAATTAAAACAAAATTATCTAAAAATTAAAATATATCCTCCTTCGACCTAACATTTTAAGATTTCATTTGATTCAAATATATAATAAATTGTTTATATTTTTATACCATATTTTTTAACATTCAGAATTGATTAAAAGAGGGTGGTAATGAGGGTACCTTCATGACGAATAACGGGAACAAATCTTGCCAAATGACGTTAATGGTAATTTTTGGTGCATGACGATAAAATGAAGACTTTCTTCAAGACGATAAAAAAATCGACAGATTTTGACGAATCACGTTATTTTTTTCCCAAAAATAATGGTAACGATAATTATTTGAGACCTCTGACAAATCACGATATGGATATGTTGACGAATCACGGTTTATTAAATGTTAACCAATTTGACGCTAACGGTAGCCGAATATGACCGTTTGACGCCTGACGGTAAAGGGCATTCATACCCTCTTAAAAGGGAGGTATGCAACACTTCAAGCATACCAGTATTTACAACCAAAACCATATGCATATTTACCAATGGTCAATTCCATTTGATTTTATTTATTATATTGGATAGAGATTTTCTCCTGATCAAACTGACCTGTTAGTCTTGTAAAATAATACTTGAAAACTTTATATTAAAACTGAAAGAAAGCATATTCAGTTTATGCTAATTCTTAACCTCAGAAACTAACAAATCAACAAATCTCACTTCAATAAACTTTTTTTGCATAGATGAAGGTATCTGTTTACAATTAACTGAATACTATTGACAATGTTCATATATCATCAGCTTTTGAAAGCTCCCATTTCAAATTACCTCCCCTGACTTAACCTCCAAACCCCTTACCAGTGTCAAAATTTTCCAAATCAGCAGGTAAAGACTTTTAATATTTTTCTACATTGCTGATGTTGCAGTTCCACTTCATAAGAATATAAACAAATATATATTATACAAATACATGATAGAATATACATGACAAACTATGTACAGATTTAAAGTGAAATATGATGTGGACCTTCTATCTACAAAAAATTGCACCAATATATCCATGAATTGTTAGCAAGTCATGTTGAAGATAGTACAAAAGTTCACATCACTTTTGTTTGCTGAGATGAAAGATGTACAAATCTCAACAACAAAAAATTGATTCAAATAAAATTACAATCAACATTTTTTTTAATACAATTAAAACATTCTTAAATCTTAATTAGACTTGTTTTGGTTTGCAATTTAAAAATGTTCTCAGATAGGTAAAAGTATATAAATATATAATCTTTAATTCAGTAAATTAATGAGATTTTACATATAATTTAGGAATGATATTATAAGAATGGAATGTGTGATATTGTAAATACAGATTGTACATCTGATTGTCAATACAAACTGAAATATTATTTTAGGGTCCTGGACTCATCAATTTCTAAACACAAATCCCAAGCTGCATTATGGTTATATGAACTGAGTCTAAAAACCATTTATCATTACATTTCAAAATTTTTGAAATTATTGATCGTAATCTAAATTTTCTCACATTATGTTCTATCCAGACTTAATTGACAAGTTAAGGCTTTGGTTATGTGTTACATTGATGTTTTTTTCAGAGCTGTGGACTAGCAGTCACCAAAAAGAATGAGTCCCACCATGATTTTTTTAGTGAGAACCCTGTTCTTTTCCTTGTATACAGAAAGCAAAATGTCTGCAAGGATAAATGTTATGTGTTAAAATTCATATACATATTTAAACAAGTAAGAAATGATCATTGCATGAGGTTAATTGCAAAATATTCCATAGTCATTACATCTGCTAAGAGTAAAGCGATCTTCTTTTTGGAGACTGTTATGGGGAGATATTTAATTTTTAGTGATTTTAAGGGGTAATTTGCAATGTGTTTAGTATGTAGGTACAGATTCTGATATAAACATACATGATCTATGAATTTAAACAAATATTTTAAGAGAAAGTGCACACATTATTAAACATCTCTTTGATATGTAAAAATATTGTATGTAAATATATAAAAGACATGCTTTAAGATAGCTATATACAAAAAAAAACACAGAGGCATGACCAGCATTAAATTGAAATTAAAAAAACAGCATAACATTATGATCCTGTTTCATTCAACTGCAATTAATATGGCACAAAAATACAATACCTGAAGAATTATTATTGTAAAAGGCAAAGTAAATACAAATGTAACATTTTATAATAATTGGAATTACATATGTAATTAATAAATTACTCAAAACTTGTCACTTTAAATATTTAGATATAAGAAGATGTGGTATGAGTGCCAATGAGACAACTCTCCATCCAAGTCACAGTTTGTAAAAGTGAACCATTATAGGTCAAAGTACGGCCTTCAACACAGAGCCTTGGCTCACACCGAACAGCAAGCTATAAAGGGCCCTAAAAATGACTAGTGTAAAACCATTCAAACAGGAAAACCAACGGTCTAATCTATTGACTAAATATATTTTTTAAAAATCTTGTTTTAACTTTCAAATTCATTTTATCTTTTTTAACTGACTACAATTCTGAAAGAAATTGTATGAGCAAAATAATCAATTATGTATCTACATTTACAGTTTCACCTTCTTTTTGAAATTGTTTGTTAATTTCCTTTTCAACGATTCCCAAAAGCTATTAACACTGTCATATATAATAAAAAAAGATGATACAACTAATGAAAACACCATAACAAAAGGACTAAACAATGTCTTGGCTGCACTGTTACAGTTATTTGTGTTACAGAAACAGTAATTCACAGTTCTCTGAAAACTGTTAACAAACTGTTTACATCCAATGTAACGATCTGAAAAATAAAGAATACAGAACTATTAATAAAAATAAATTTACATATACATGACATTTAGAACTTAAATAAGGCAAAGGTATTATAATTTGTTGCTTTACCTGACCCTATTTTCTGATTTTCCAAAAAAAAAAAAAACAAACATTTCATGCTTTTTTATTCCCACCGATAATACATTATCCCTGAAAAAAAAAAAAATATCTGCTTAGTAGCAATTTTATGAAATTAAATGCATTATTTTAGCATGGTAAAAACAGAAATGATTACAGATTGAGTTCTAAAATATAAAAATCGAAAATTAATCCTTAGTTTGTGTTTTTAAAAATAGACAATCATAACTGACCTTGAAATGTTGTTTGCGCAATAAAATTTGCAGAACGAAACCTACGTTACAAACCCATTAACAGTGTTCCAGCTAGGATTTCAAAAGGGCAGGGTGCCAATCCTGAAAAAGGGCATTTAACGCGTGATATGATAATATGAAAAGGGCATGTTTTAATAAAGATTATATTCAAACATTGTTTGTTCATTGAATCACTGGTTATATATATACAAGAATAACATCATTAGCCCAGAGAAAAACTATCTTTCTACTTTTTAGGCTGAAAACTTATCAAGCAGCTTGTCACACAAGTTTTAAATCATTGCTTGGCACAGTTAAGCTTTATATGCAGTATTTTTTGAAAAATGTCCTGCTTCATTCTGTTTCTATGGTCTGACACACTTTACAAGTTTCACCTTTCTACCTTTTCTGTGCTTAATGGCAATACAGCACAAAACAGCTGTAAATGCACAATGTTAGGATATAGTGAACAGTGAAAATTTGGATTGAATATAAAAAATACAGAAAAAGATGACCAAGGCACCCTACCAACCCTGCTACTAAGACCCTCTTTAACTTTTCCCATAACTCAAAACACCTAAACATATAAATTCTAAAGCCAGAAGTATGAAGACATATTTTATAATATCTTAGTAGGTAACTAAATGCTAGGAAAAAATAAGATTGAGTTATCTTTCTTTATTTGGGTGTGCTCCTTCTTTGGAGGATAATAAACAGTACGTAGAAGATGTAAATACGATCAACAATATGGCGGCCGATTTTGTTATTTTCGTATAAAAAATGAAGGCAGTCAATGAAAAATACGTCTTAATTTGCTATTTATTTCACGGAAAACAATAAGAGCAATGTTTTAACGAGTTGATTATGGTTTTCGACTTTCTGTCAATTATGTTTTCTCCATAAAACTACGGTAAACATTGCTAATTGTGCCCACGTTGTATGAACATTTCTTCAAGTTCAAAGACAAATGCTGACTGACCGATTCTATTTGAATGAATTAATGTTGATGATCATTAAATGACCCATCCGATAAACAGATTACCTATAACAACAGATTATGACACCTGTTGTAACCGTTGATTAGCTTGGGGTCGTAAACAAAGTCATATACTTGTCGCCAGGTATATTTTCGTAATTGGCTGATTATATCAATACGAACAAAATAATATACCAATCGATCTTCAAAAAAGGCAGGGCGCCCTGCAAACTGTAAAAAGGGCACAAGGCAGCACTCGGGAAAGGGCGGGCGGACCGCCCTGTGAAAACGACCTAGCTGGAACATTGTCATTACAAAAAGTTCATTTTCCTTTTTTGTCATAATTCCGTTAGATTTTTCATCTCGTTAAAGACGTAAAGTTAAAAGTATGAGATATCCACAAACAATTTGGAATTTTCTTGTTTCATAGTTTGAAAAAAAATGTTTGTCCATTTGGATATCAAAAACGGGATTGCCTGCCAAAGCATGAAACTGATATCCTCGTCTTTGGGATGGATGAGTCTACTTTGTTTTTGACATGGATGGTAAAGTGTTATTTTCGTGCGGCGTGTTTGCAATTTTTATTTTATGTGTTTTTGATCTTTAAGCTCATTATTCACCATATCTACTGAAAGTTGATAAAAAGCAACATGTAGTTGTTTTCTCCTGTTTGTGAAATGACCATTTATTTTCCTGTTTGTCCTTTTACAAAATTATTACGTGGCAAGAATTTTATGTTTAAAACAGCTGAGCAATAATATTTAAAAATAAAATTTAAGATATGATGACTAAATAGCATACCAAAAATATTATAAGTGAGCTGAAATATTTATTTATTTTGAACATATTTATGTCTTGTAAGATATTTTTTCTTTTTTTTCGACAATCTACCGATTTTTTCATATAAAAAATCTGTAAACCAACAATTAAAAAACCATGGCCTAAGAAAAGTGGCGGATGGTACCAAAGAGGGAATCCAAATTCATAAGTAGAAGAGACACTGACAAAATCATGGCAAAAAATAAAATGATGAAAAGACAAACAGTCTAAAAAAAAATACATCAGAAACAAGACTGAGCAACACTAACACCAGCAAAACGGGGGTGATATCAGGTGCTTCAAAAGGCTAAGCATATCCTACTCCACATGTGGCACCTGTAGTGTTGCTCATGGGAAGTACAAATTTGGTGTTAAGTCTTATCTGGTGTACTCATAAACTACAAATGTAGTTAATTAATCGTGTCTAATCCAGAAAATTTAGTGTTTTTTAAAGCAGGAAAGGGAGGGTTACAACCATTCAAAGGCGGAAGAGCTTAAATGCTAATTTATGATCAAGTATTCTGCATTTTAGAAGTCCATTTGATCCTCAGCTGGATATTATTTGTCCAGTCCACAACATTGATACTACAGACTTTGATTTAAGTTATCCAAAATTTCAACTAAAAATGTTCTTAAACAAATAAATGGCTTTATTTACCACATGATTATCTTCATGAATGAATCTAAACAAGAGTGCACGCTGAAATGTCTGCTTTACTGACCATTGATTTTATAATGAAAGTCTTAAAGATAAACGTTTTACTGCAAGTATCACATAAACATTTTTTTTCACAATGAGGTCAAGGTCAGATATATCCTGTCAGACATGTACACCTTATAATTATTCCATACATCAAATATAGTTGACCTTTTCCTTATGGTAATTGAAAACTGACCAAAACACAAAAACTTAACATTGACCAATAAACCATGAAAATGATGTCAAGGTCAGATGATACCTGCAAGACAGACATGTACACCTTACAATTATTCCATACACCAAAAATCCAAATATAGTTTACCTATTGCTTATAGTACTTAAAAAAACAGAAAATCTTTCATTGAACAATGAACCATGAAAATCAGGTCAAGGTCAGATGAAACCTGCCAGACTGACATGTACCCCTTACTATCATTCCATACACCACATACACCACATATAGTTGACCTACTGCTTATAGTATCTGAGAAATGGACCTTATCACATAATTTTAATCTTGACCACTGATTCATGAAATGAGATTGAGATCAAGTGAACCCTGTCTGACGAACATGTAGACATTGCAAGGAACCCATTTACTAAATATATGTATCCTATTACTCATAATAAGTGAGAAATTCTCATGACAAAAAAAACTTAAATTTGTTTTCAAGCAGTCACTGAACCATGAAAATGAGGTGAAGGACAATGGACATATGACAGACAAAAACTTCGTAACATAAGGTATCTTCATACAAGGTATGAAGTATCAAGGTCTTCTTCCTTCTGATATTTAAAGCTTTATACAAATAGTTTACACCGCCGAATAGTAATCCCTTTCTCGCATACTGCAACTTTCATCGCAGGCAAAACAAAAATCTCAAAAATAGTGAGTGCCAAGGATATCTAATATATTTGTTTTACTGGTTTTAAGTACCATACTAAATTATCAACAACAAGGTAACCAGTTAAGAGCACATCCACCAGTTTCAGGGGAGACAAAAAAGTATGGCTTTGTCATCCAGATGTCTAATGTCAGGTGAAAATGATTTGTCACAACAAATTAAAACATTTGTTATTTTGTAGAGTCCCATACTAATTTAGGGCATTATGGTGTTGCTCTTGGGTGATACTTTTTTAGGGTTCTATACATGAGAACTTACTTAATTTGCCGGGTAGTATTTTGATGAAACATGTTTGTAGGGAAAAAATAAACTTAAAATTTATTCCATATGCACAATGATATTTGTGATTTTTTATAGTCATAGAGTACTATTTTTTGTTCTTTTAATCAAAAAACAATTCCCCTTTCACAGTATTCTTACCTGCTTCATAAACTTCTAATGTATATATGTAGTCTGACTGTGTAAAACATTTTCTTGAAGCAGAACTAAATGCTGTAAAAAAGATAAATGATTTCATTATTTTAGGTGTTGAATGATATTTCTGTTCAAAAGATGTATGCTATGCATTATACTCTATTTATGATAAACTTTACAAGTCCAATACAAATGTAGTTCATAAGAAAGAGTCTGCATGACCACTCACTGTGCTAATTGATTGCCTTATAAAAATAAGATGTGGTATGATTGCCAATGAGACAACTCTCCACAAGAGACCAAATGACACAGAAATTAACAACTATAGGTCACCGTACGGCCTTCAACAATGAGTAAAACCCATACCACATAGTCAGCTACAAAAATGTATAAAAGGCCCCAAAATGACAAATGAAAAACAATTCAAACGAGAAAACTGACAGCCTGATTTATGTACAAAACAATGAACGAAAAAAACAAATATGATCTACAGCAACAAACGACAACCACTGAATTACAGGCTCCTGACTTGGGACTGGCACATACAGAATGTGGCAGGGTTAAACTAGTTTGAAGGTGCGCCAACCCTCCCCCTAACCAGGGACAGTGGTGTAACAGTACAACATAAGAACAAACTATAAAAATCAGTTTAAAAGGGCTCAACTCATCAGATCGAAACAAAGCAGAAATACATCTAACAAAAACACAGAGTGGACGTGGCAGGCGACTTGTACATCCCCACAACAAAAAGACACTAAGTACAGATCTGAGAGCACTCACAGTTACTGACAGCTAGTTCAAGGCAATTAACAACTAATAAAAAAAAATCATGCATCCAACACTAAAATATCAATCAGTACACTGCATCCAACATCCAATGGATTTTAACCTAATTATTAATAAGTTCTTTTGAAAATTGTAGCACAGCAAATTATCTGCTAAGCATAGGGGGAGAGTTGGTGCTTCCAAACATGTTTAACCCTGCACCAGTCTTAATGTGCCTGTCCCAAGTCAGGAGCCTGTAATTCAGTGGTTGTTGTTTGTTACTGTATATCATATTTGTTTTTCGTTTGTTTTGTTCATAAATCAGGCTGTTGGTTTTCACATTTGAATTGTTTTACATTTTGTTAAGTCAGGGCCTACCATACCTTGCTATAATGAACTATGAGTTTTACTCATTGTTGAAAGCAGTACAGCAATCTATAGTTGCTAACATAATTTGGTCTCTGGTGGAGTAGTCTCATTGGCAATCATACCATTATTCTATATGGATGAATGGCTTTTTAATGTCCTAAGGTAAATATTGCATGCATATTCAGGACGAGAACCAGTTAATGTAATATGAATACAAATATTGCATTGTACAAGGCTGAAACACTGTGCTTGTAACATGTTAGTTCACAATGAAATATTAGCAGGCAGACATTTCAGCCTTACAGGACATATTATTCTGACTGTGGGCTACCAGACTTTCCTCCTAATACTTAATGCTGTGTTTTTCGCAGAGAAGCAACAAATACCAATTTTCAATAGGAAGAAATATTTGAATTTATAACCACAATAGTCCCATAATTCAAAACTGAAAACCAGTTTTTAAAGTCTTCATTATGCACAGCTAACTTGTATTTACATCATATACATAATTATATTTTTTGAAGTTGAAGGAGTATTATTGAGTACTGGTTAACTAAAAACTGATAATTTTGTTTCGGAATTTTGACAGAAATAACATGCATTTGACATACCTAGCATATGTCACTAAAAAAAATAAATAAGAAATTTGAATTTACAAAGAAAATCTATTTAAATTTTCGTAATGGTTACTCACTATGTTAATTCAGCCAAATTATGACTTTAAACTGCTGTTTTCTTACTTGTTCTATTAATCTAACAAGTAATATTTATATACCTGAAATTTTTATACATGCCTTTTAATTTACAATACTATTATGTATGTTTTATTAATTTATGTTATGATGTGCTCTTATAGTTTCTATATCTGATTGATTTCATAAAAGAAAACAAATACAAATTAAACTTTCCATTCTCCAGATCTATAACCTGGTAAATTAGAAGTACTTACCATCGTCCCAGGCTTTGACACACATATAACATCCACTTTTGGTACCAATACCAGAAGCCTCAGCATCAAATGGTTCTTTGTTACAGGTATTACAGGTGTAACAAGACACGCCCCCTGTTTCCTTGTCATACTCATTCCCACCCCCTGGGATAATACCACCAGGGATCACATCTTGTTCATCCCACTTGTTCTGGAATTCATTAAATGTTCCATCATTCCAGCCTAGAAAATATAACAATGAATAAAAAAGAAATATACATTTGTATGTTTCATATAAAATCAGCAAACAGATGTTTATTACTTGTGATGTTTTATAGCAACAGCACAAATTGTAATCCGAAATCAAAATTTTTAGATATGGAGTTTCTGTATTTTTAAAAATTACCCTTTCAATCAGAAAACCAAAAAATCACATATGAATTTAACTGTTTCATGAGTAATAATATGTTTTGTACAACTAAAATAATGCAAGTAGAATGGTTTTACTGAAAATTTTCATGTTTCAAAAGAAAAGAAATATTCCATTTTAGTAGCAAGACTGTCATTTGGGTCTGGTGGATAGTTGTCATCTCATATTTGGCAGTCATACCACACCTCAAATTATATATTAACAGAGTTAACTTATTATTCTAGCGATGATGTTAACTGTAGCTTATATACAACTCTGCACTTCCTACTCCCCATATTACTACAAATCTAAAATTGAATTAAAATTGATACCTCCTGGATTTACTCCTTCTGGATACAGATTATTAGGGTTTGAATAATAAATCTGAGTAATTCTCAACAGGAAACCAGCTTTATTGTCCCTTCTGTTGTCTGTTACAAACTGAATTGTCAGTTCATTCTGAGTAGTTCTAAAGGAACGAAGATTGGCAAGGTCACCATCCAGATACATAGAGCCACAAATACCAGAGGCTGGTACCTTTGGTAATAGTCTAGCATTATCTACTCTTGGTCCTGTAAATAACAATGTAAAACAATCATTTAGAAAGTTGTAAATGTCTATTTTAATCTTCATTCATTAATGCCTTTTTTGTGAAAAAGTCAGCATTGGTGAAGTTAGTTCAATGATGCAAGAACAGTTTGTTTTTATTTTTTGTATATATCCTTTCAGTTTGAAAGTACCTAAAGTAGTTCAATAACATAAAATTTACTTCAGTAGTTTGTGACTTATTGCTTAGAGGATATTGCACACGGATTTAGACTTTTCAAGTACTACCTTGAAACTATACTTTTTAAGTACATGTATTTGTTTATTGAATTTATTCCAGTTTTAATGGAACCAGCTAGTCATGTGTACATATTTGTACATACATTTATATGTGACCATTGCTTCAAAATCTTGAATCCTGTTAAATAACATTTATATCTAATTAGCTATCTCTCTTTTCATTCATTATATAATTTTGTGTGAAAATTTTAGTGTACACTGAATAGTTGTCTGCTAATATTAATAAGGACAGGGGTGAGTGGTGTTTTTGACAAAAGCCCTACACTGACATTATAAGGACAAGATATCACAGTATGTACATGTACAATGTCGAATGATACAATACTGTAGCTTACACAATCAGCAAAGTGAAGTGTAAAACGAAAATAATTTAAGCCGTATATTAAGATATATTATGGAAAAAAAGGGGTATCATATCCTGGAAATCCCCCCTAACCCATAAGGACCCACAAATGCATGTAGACTAGTGGACTTCAAAGTGTTGTGAGTAGTTTGACCAAAGAACCACCACACACCATTTTAAAAGAGGTACATGTAGATTAACTCACCATTGAAAAGTTTCAAAAAATCATAACATTTCGTAGGATATCCAGCGGAATCAAACTCCCCATGAGAGTCAACATCTAAGCTTGTTAATAAGACCTCTATCTGATGACTTGGTTTAGCCTTTATGTATACAATACAGTTCTGTCCATCTTTGTAGTAATTATTCCCTGACTGTGATTGGACAGTGTCATAATCATCCTGTGCAAAGCTGTACTTTGTTTTATAGTATTGAGTATTCCGGCAGTAATCTTCTGAACAAACTGAGCAGTAATCATTAGACTGTACAACTATGCTACCTAAAACAGATATAAAACAATTAGTTCAAAATGAAAAACAAACTGTAAAATAAGAAAAAGATTAAAATCTTAAGTACACTGAACAGTTGTCTAAGTCAAAGACAGTCATTTATTAGTTAACAAATCAACCAATTAATTACTATTTATATCCTATGTTTTTAAGAGGTCACAGCTACAGGTTTATTGTAGTTTTATGATTAATACACTTGTCGAGTGATGATCGATGCACAAAAATATCTGTAATATTCAATTCACTCTCATTTACCATGTTTACACAATATCTTAATAAACAGTGACATAAGTTGCTACAAATAATGTAAAACACTTTATTTTGTTATGTTACAAAATGTATGTTATTTTTGAACTACCCCATACTATAAGGATTAATTTATTATTTTTGGTATCAACTTCTATGGTTGGAGGAAAAATTTCTGTTCATAGGATACCATGCAGAGGTCCTCAGTTCATGCATCACATTTCTACATTTGCTCCTTCCAATTAAAGTACTTAATTAAACGTATAATTATTTGTACTTGGTCGAGTAGTTAAATTAGAGGTATACTAATGTTGTCTTTATTTCTGCCTTAACCTAAAAAATCATTGAAAACTTAACTCGCCAACAATTATCAACAAATATAAATATATCAAATTCAAAATTGTTAAAAGTAAACTTAATTAATGTGCAAATTGCAGCAATGAAAGATTATCTATCTCATGTTAAAATAATAAAATTATCTTATAATACATATATTTCTGTATAGCATTTCCGGTCTAAATAACAAAAAAACCTTAACAATTCATATTCTTGCCCAATAATATTGATCTTTTAAAACTGATGTATAATGAGTAAGGCAAATACAGGAATCGGTGTGAAATGACCTGGATTAACTGGCCCCAACCTAATAATAATGCATGGCCCGCAGCCCCCTCCCCAACAACATCTGTTTTTAATTATTCCAGGAACATATATATTGTTAGATATACTGTTCCCAGATTATTCTTATTCATTAATTTTTTTAGGTAATTTTATATGAAATCTTTGACAAATGCTTTGGCTAAGTCCATGATGATGTCAGGTTGAGAGTTTAGAGACTGCTTGTTCAAAACACAGTAAATGTGTTTCACAGGATCTAAAGTGACTAAATTTTGATGGGGATCTTATACTAAATTATGATTTATTTTCTAGGTGGTTAAGTACAAAAAATGTAGGTGTTTCGTTATAACGTGTTCTTTTGATATACAATTGAAACAATTGAGAGAGATTGGTCTGAAGCTGACTGCAAAATTTTTCTCCTTTTTTGTATGCTGGTGCCACATTTGATGTCTGTTGACTGTCTTTCGCCAACTTCAACTTCAGGATTTGAGGTTTTTTATTTCCAAACTTTGGTAGACTAGCTGTTAAATGTTTTAGTGAAATTATTACCTTCTGAAATTTGAATTAATGACAGTAAAATCAAAATGTAAACAAATCTGATTTCCATTTTGAAACAGGAAATACAACAGAATGCACAGGTAAACACAGGTAAAACTTCACCTGGGCACTGGTTTACTGTTCTGGACTTCGTTCACCACGAGGGAAAGTTGTACAGGAACCCAGACATAGATAAATTTGTTCTGGTTTACTGTTTTGAACTTTTTCTTATCCCTTAGCTCTATACTATACTTATAAAAAATGTATGACCCGCATTTAAAACAATACTAAATAAAGAAATGTATAACAGGATAATTACCAAAAATGTTAGGCAGTACAACATATCATATTTTTTAAAAACATATCAAATATAAAGAAAATGATAAATTTCTCAGCAAAGACGATGTCATGGTAATCTCAGTTCTCAGCGATCCTATTTTTACAAAAAGATAACTAAAATGTTCAACATTTTTTTTTCCTTTTTAATATAGCCAGATATATATATAATACAACTGTATTATATGTCTCTGATCAGATGTATTATATGTGTCTGCTCTGATGTAGTTGAAGACATAGGCGAAAAACACAGGCATGCACTTGTCTCTGAAAAATAATTACCGGCTATATAATTTAGTGTTATATTAAAGTATATCGAGGTATTTTTTTCAGAGACAAGTGCCTGTGTGGTGACAAAACAAGAATTGAAATAGACAAAATCATCTAAGAACAACAAAAACAAAAGAAATTAAAACTGAATTCATTGAATTTAATTAAAACCCGTAACCTGCCCTTATAGGGGGGGGGGGGGGGGGTTATAGAACTGAAATGTTTGCCGCAAATTTGCAGCAGACTTGTTGCAAGTTTGCGGCAAACAAAAAGTTTGCAGGAAAACAGAAAACAGTGTTTGCAGATTTTTGCCGCTCAGCTGCAAACTTTCTGCAAACATTGCAGCTTTTTTTTCGGAAGCTTGCGGCAAGTTTGCAGAAACATCAATGTTTGCAGAACTAGAAGATTGTAAGAAAGTTAAGATAATAAAGAATGTTTGCCGCAAGATTGTAGAAATCTTTGACCATTCTATATGTTTGCCGCAAGATTGCAGAAAATTTTTACCATTCTATGTTTGCCAGAATTACACAATTGACTGGGCATGCCTAGTTGGCACTTCCTGGAAGCTAACAATTTGAAATTGTGGGCTAGGTCATGTTGAAAATTTGTGTTTGAGTAATGTTATATAAAAGAGATCAAGGTGGCATTTTGGTTCAATAATAAAGGATATTCAATTTGTAATTTTGTAAGTACAAATTATTCACAGAACTGTTGATTTAATAACATAATTAATGTCACCATCATACATAATTAAGTTAACAACTATGTGTCTGAAATACTCTAGCTATTATAAGTTTGAATTTTGTAACTGATTAAATGTATACTGTTTAATAAAGTTCATTTCAATTTTGTAATGCAATTATTACCTAGCTTTATGCTCACTACACATTTGAGATTTATCCTTTTTTATTTCTTAATACAATACCGGTATATGATATCATTTGAAAATGACCCCCGTCCCCTTTTTCAAAAATGAAATGCATGTATGTATTTCCTTAAATCTCAGATAAGTTTGCAAGTATTCTTTCAATGACTGTTTGTATACAGGCAGGAAGTTCTTTTTTAAAATGTTGATGTGTAATTTGAAAGAGATAAATTGAATGTGTCTCAGACACACGTGACTTTGGTATATGTGTAGTTCCTGCAAGTTTGCCGCAAGTTTGCAGCAAATCTAATTTGCATAATTATGTTTGCTGCAAGCTTGCCGCAACCTTCATTTGCATGGTAAAATGGTTGCGGCAATGTTTGCTGCTAGTTTGCTGCAAATGTTTGCCACAAGGCTTATTTTTCGGTAAGGGTGAGACTACTATAATACATAGTATAGTAGACTCAGCCGTAACCGAAGAATTTGCGAGTAAACAAATAAATTAATAAATTATATATAAGAACAACTGCAGGATATGTTACTTTCAACAGGGACTTTCTATACAGTCCCTGCTTTCGCCAACATTTTATAAATGGCACAACCAGTAACATCATATCCTTTTAAAAATGATTAAAGCTGTCCAGGTTTCCTCACTGTATTAGAAGAATGATATCTATAGACAACGGAAAGTATAGACCTGCAAGTGTGTTATCTGTGTATTTCCAAAATTTACCAAGGAGCAAAACACGATCAATTAGTGAAATTTTTAAATAAACCTCTACTTTTAGCACTATTTAGCTCTGGTTTTGGTTGCCAAGCAGTACTTTTAAAGATAAAAGATAGGAACAAAAGCTCAGGACGACAACAAATGTGTTGCTGCAATTCGATGGATCTATTTAATGCATTTGATTGTTTAATACACGATTTACTTTTACCAGAAAGAAATATATCTCTGCTTTTACTAAAATTGAAAGCATATGGTCTGTCAAAAAACTCTATAAAATTATTACAAACTTATCTAGAAAACAGAAAGACGTATCAAAATTGGAAATTCTAACAGTGAATGGGATCAGATGTTTAAAGATCTATCATAAGGGTATATACTTGGACCTGTTCTTTTCAATCACTTCATAAATGACATATTTATTTTTATACAAAATGCAAAATTTATAATGATGCTGATGATGACACTGTATCATATAGTGATTATGACATGGATAAAGTTGTTCATATCTTAGAAACTGACAGTGCTTCGGTACTGGCATGATTCATAACATACCTTTCTTAAATTTTAGAAATTATTAAGAAAATAAGATCCCAACACCCTCAGGCAAAGAAGAAGAGGTCAAATTGCGCGAAAATTTGTGAAAACAATATTGTTTCACTAACTCCCAACTATTTGTATTCCAACCATGTTTATCCAGGGAAAAATAAAGAATGACTGTTTCCTTTGGATTTCTTTTGTAATAATCCAATTTGATTTTCCTTTAAGCTGTCTTCTTTCTTTGTTCATCCTCATTTAGAGTTTTCTCTTATTACATTTTTGTGCGTACTTGATCACGACCTAAAATTGGGTTTTGTTTACATGTATCTCGTAGACAGCAACACAACAACATGTCTTGTAGTTTACTACAAGTTAGGGCTCGGCAATAAGTTCATTCTTTTGAATCTATTTGGATGCAATTTGAATTTTATTCCCATAATGAAAAAAATTAAGTTGACGGAAAACGCTAACTAACAATTCCTTGTCAAATCTTATCAAAATAGAACTATATCAACTGGTTGAAGTTACTAGAGTGATCGGACTGCATATATATATATATACGTCACTTTGATAATAGGTGTTCATAATTGGTTAATATTTTATCATATATTTCATTTTCCCATATCCCTTGAAGTGTAAACTTCCACATTCCCTTATTCAATTCTCTACAGTGATGGTACATTTAAAGGATGTGTTTTTTTCTTGTTTCAATGTCAATTTACCGACTGGACACAATATGATAAGAAACAAGAAACGGAAGTTATATCAAGTGATATGCTTTTAATGAACTTTAAGTTATATATTGCATATATATGGAGATTTGTCTTATAATTTCTCCAGAAAGAATTTTCATATCCATCTTGTCTTTTGGATAATTATAGTTTACCAAATAAATTAAATACAATGGTAAATGTTATACATTATTTGTAAATTTCAACATCTGCTCATCTTGAATTGAATATTGATTCTTTGATTAACACTTTTGGAAAAAACAAATGAGCAGAAACCGCTCTTTGAAAAAAAAATGAAATGTTAATTTTTGTTTTCTAAATTTGTGCACTCGTTTACTTTGACTAAACGGTGATTTCTTTTGATTTAGAAATAAAACGGTTTATAAAATTATATTAGTATAAAGCCGTATGAAATTACCGGTAGTAATAAACATACAATGTCATCATGCAAAACCCCTGCAACATCTGGTACAGAACTCATATTCGTTTCGTTCAATACTACGTGACACATCAAGACACTGATTACAACAACTCAATTATTCAATTACTAGATGTCATCTTTCAACAAAATACACATTTCAAGCTCAATGTCATTATCTATTTTATTCACCGTGGGTTTTTCAGTAGAAGCGCCAAAATAATAGTGCTACATATAGTTTTCCTTCCAAAATTACCACTGTACCAGCTGGGGCCTACTAAGCAACCAAAGTTTTATGTTTTACTTGTTTTGCTTTCGCCATTAGATTTTCTAAGGGTTTCTGGTAGAAAAACAAATACAATTTTACTTTCAGAATTTTTTTCAAAATAGGAAATTCCAGATTGTATGCGACATTTGAACTTTAAGTTTGTTTAAAATAAATACATTGCTTATAGATTTTTAGTTTGGTGTAGATTAAATATTTTGAGCAAGAATATTTTCATGTGTAAAAAAGGCATCAAATTGTATGCATGCTTAGTTTATTCCTAATACCATTAACCTTTTACCAATCTAAATGTAGTAATAGATTTCCTCTGCACTTCAAATATTTGTTTATTTCTATCTCCATCAAAGAATGAAAAAGCGATTCTGCACATCCATAAAACTAAATAGTCTGTTTTGATAGCAACCCTTGTATCTCCTTAACCTATGGAAAATAAAAACATTTATAATTGGTTACATTGGGATATTACAGGATAAATCTCGCTCTTATCACATTTATACAGACTAGTAAGGTTGTTTACTTATTTACAGTCATAAATATCGACATAAGTAATCCTGTCAGACAAAATAAAATACATAGACAAGTAAGGATGTTGAAAATTTGGTTATCGTTGTTATCGTTTCTTATTTTACTTAGTCTTAATTGTGGTATGTATTGAATTAATGTTAATTTGAATACATTTCAGTTTCTCTAAGGACATATTATATGTAATTAAAATTTAAATGCTTTAAATGAACTTAGATATAAATTTAGAGGAATATTGTACACATTAAACCTTTAAGGAAATGCTGATTTCTTCAAATACTCGCAGAAAGAAAATGCAAAATTCAATAACATCAATCACTGACAAAAAACGTTGTTGGGTAAACTAAATTTGCGACAGTAAAACCGTTTAACGTATGCCATGCTTTAAGTATATGTAAGAGAATTATAATCCCTTTCTTCACGATTAAGTACGAGCGTTAGCTAGTACTTATTATGAAGAAAGGGATTATCATTTACTTACAAACTTAGATTATTGTAAAGTGTTCAAGGCTCAAAAGGCTCTCTTGATTGGTTTTAATTGAGAATTTGTTTCATTGTCAGTGCAATGTTTTTAATTAATGCATGGCTTCCTTTTTAGGCATTTCATTTATGGATTAGTCCTAGTGATGTAAGGACTTACTTATAATTTGGGAAATTTTAATAAATTGTGTTTAAGACATTAGATAACACATCTACAATGTAGAAGTTTTCTAATTGTGAATATGAATGTAAGTTATATATATATAATATCAAAGTGAGAAATCATCTTTTTGTTTATTTACAGTTCAATTCAATATATTCAAAATCCGAGTTACAACTCGATTGTATTCCACAGACAATTCTATTTCAGCTCTTTACACAGAAAAATTAATAACTAAAATTTAAATGTTCAAATAAAATGCTTTTTATAGAAAATTCCAAAGTCAATTTAATTTTCTGTTGTGTGAGTATATTGAAAATGATTATATACTAACTGTGGATACAGTAATCTGAGTTTTGAGTATTGGTAAGCTTATTAGCCAACGATATAGGTAAAATTTAAGTTTAAAAGTGTTTTTTATTCTTTTTCTTCTTTTTGGCATTGGTTTGATATTTCTTAATTTTTTTGTAATTGTGAAGTTCTAAATATTCACATAATAACATTATAAACGGTATCAATTTTACTGCACCAGTAAACTTTAAACGTTTTTTTATTTTTTTGTTTGTTTGTTTCAAAATTCAACTTTCAATTATTTTTTATTAATAATCCGTTCAAGCTAATAAATGTGCTTCGGGGCAGTTGTAACTCATCTACGGAAACTCTTTGTTCTCTGTTCTACTGTAAATATTATAATAGGATAACCCCATACTAAGAACATGATTTACGTTAATTCCTCACAATATAAAGAACATCAAATCCTACAATTCCATTGGTCGAGAGTACTTTGCTATATTGTAAATCCAATAGAGTTATCTCCTAATTATTACCCTTTTCCAGTGAAATCAAATCCACTGAAGAAAAAAGAAACATCACTGACATCGTCACTGAGAAGAGAAAGGCGATGGGGCGCCGACTTGTTTGGAAGAGGATGCAGTTGTGACTTCCACGTACATTGTCGTAATGACGCTGAATGTCGCCATCATGCTGTAGATTCTCATGAGATTTATAGATGTGTCTATTCCAACTGCTGCGGAACAAAATGTGTGCACCATCACATTCACGTGCCTCACACTAGTAAAGAGGTTGGCAATGCGATTTAATTGAGTAGTAAGTTTTGTTACTAATGTCTAACAAAGTCCAGTTTGCTGTACTCGAATTTTCTTTTTTCAGGTTTGACCTTCGCCTGGAACACTCATAGCTATAAATATCAGCAAGATTACGATTGGGATGTACACAAGAGTCTGATTGTTTTTTTATTTATTTTCCATCAAATATGAACATGGTATTGACGAAATGAAATTATACTTTATGTAAAGCCGATTTAGTATTATATAAACACATACGACATCGTCTTCAAAATCTTGCGCATTCACAAAGCTATGCAAAGTTACCAGATAATGGACAAAGTTGTGAATAAATCTAGGATAAAGAATGGTTTGTCATGTTTGTTGTTGCCTAAACGAAATTGATATCTAGATGTTGAGGCTAAAAAAGGGTTTTTTTGTAAGTCTTCTGCAACCAGTGCCCAAACTGATAAACTACATTGTGATCAATTGATTGATTGATTGGTGTTTAATGCCACTTTCAGCACTATTGACTATGCCGTGGCGGCTAGTTTGTATTGATGGAGGAAGCCGGAGTGCTCGGAGTGAAACACCGACCTTCAGTAGGAAAACTTACAATCCTAGTCAATTAAGATTGGAGTCGAACGCGCTTGCTACATCAGCGTTGACAGGCTAGTATACAGTAGTTGAACTACTTAGACCACTCGGCCACCGAGGCCCTTAACTACATTTGTATCGGCGTATTAATCATACATGATCATGTGTATATTTAAAAATGTACATAACATACATTTTTTAATTTTTAGATAAAAGATGCAGAACTGAGAACTGATGTGTTAGTAGAACATTCATGTGCATAATATTAAATAAGTTAAATTTTAGTGATTAGTGATTGTATGTTTTGACTTTAAATAAATTAAGAAGAATCTTATTAATGATATATAATTATATATATAAACAAGTCTAAATTGAAAACAACGTTCAAACCTATGATTGCGTTGGATAAAAACCACAATCTTTATACGCGTGCATGCAAAACAAATTTCTTGGTAGAGGGGTCTAATTACAGCACAAACAACAGTTTCCAAAAGACCAAAAAAGTGAAAAAGTATATTTTAACAAAACGCATTTGACTAACAGGTCGAACAACGGATGTTCTTAAACTTTGCTGACTGCCATGGCGATTACCAAATAAACGTATTACCAGATGTAACAAAATGGATCCTAATTATTAATTTAATACCAAACAGAAAACAATAAACTTGAGGAAAAGATGGAATACCGTAAACATGAGGTGCACAAATTGGTACACCATACCCGGATTTCGAAAATTAATGTCTCTTCAGTGATGTTAGGAATCGAAACGGTATTTGGAAGGCCATATAATTTACCTCAATTTAGGATAGACTCTTGAATTTTGAAGAGTCGAAATAGGATAAACGGATCATATAAACCTGAAGGCAAATATAATACAAGCCCAAACGAAAAAATATTAACACGTCTAAATTGAAAACAACGTTCAAACCTATGATTGCGTTGGATAAAAACCGCATATATCTCCGACTGGGCGAATGGTCTGAAATTGCACCAACTAGCCAAATCCACCCCCCCCCCCAAAAAAAACCCGCCAAGATTAGACGAATTAAATGCCCTTCGATCTATTTAGACCTGACGCCATATTGATTATTGTTTACCTTGAGTGCAGTGGCAAATAGTTTCATGTATATTCAGGACAAAATCAAATCGGAAAACAAATCAGTTAGGCGGTTTTCTTTTTGTAATTGGAGAGCATGTTGGGTTTGGGCAATTGTTGCCTTGAAACGGGCCACCTACAGACCACTTCAAGAGTTGTTGAAAAGTTTCTTAATTACAGAGACCGTGGCACACTCCTAACACCGGACATTGGAGATAATAACGTTCCTATTCCGGCCATGGGTAGTTGCGTATTTACTCATCGACAAATAAGCAAAACCTTCGACTCATGGCATTGGTTTTACTGCCGGCCTGGAGAAATACCTCTTGCTTGCTGTCAGCCTGTTGAAACTCTGAGACGCTCCTGATAAATGTAACAAGGGACCGATACGAGAAAATGCGATCTGCTGTATATAGACGTCATTATTTATTCTGATACAATGCAAAACGCAGAGACATTCTAATTGCAATATACCAGTACATTATAAATTCCTGAAAGTGGAATCATCAAGTAGGAATAAATGTGATGGAGAGTTCGTAATCATAATACCATTAACGTTTTATCAATCTGTATGTAGTTAAAGTTATGAAATACCACGTTTTAATATAAAATCATGCAAGTGAAATCATCGAATAGGTAATGGAGAGTTTGTATTCATATAATACCATTACGTTTTATCAAACTGTATGTTGTTAAAGAATTTGTGAAATAACACTTTTATTATAAATTCCTGAAAGTGGAAGCCGATCGAGAAGGAACAAAACTTGATGTAGAGTTCGTTTTAATAATGCCATTAACTTTTAAACAATCTGTATGTTGTTACAGATTTTGTGGAATACCACGTTTTAATATAAAATCATGAAAGTGGAATCATCGAGTACGAACCAAATATAATGGAGAGTTCGTATTTATTATACCTTTAACGTTTAATCAATCTGAATGTAGTTAAAGATTACTAGTATGTGAAATACCACTTTCATTATAAATTCCTGAAAGTTGAATCATCGTGTAGGAACAAAATGTAATGCACAGTTCGTATTCATATTACCATTAACCTTTGTCAATCTAAGTATAGTTACTGTAATGGATTTCCTCTGCACTTCAATTATTTGTTAATTTCTTTCTCTATCAAAGGATGAAAAAGCGATTCTGCACATCCATAAGACTAAATAGTCTGTTTTGATAGCAACCCTTGTATCCCCTTAACCTACGGAAAATAAAAACATTTATAATTGGTTACATTGGGTGTATAGGATAAATCTTGCTCTTATCACATTTATACAGACTAGTAAGGTTGTTTACTTATTTACATTTATATACATCGATATAAGTAATCCTGTCAGACAAAATAATATACATACACATGTAAGGATGTTGAAAATTTGGTTGTTATCGTTTCTTATTTTACTTATTCTTAATAGTGGTATGTATTTAAAAAGTTTTACTCTGAATTCAGTTTCTTTACAGACATATTAATATATGAAATGACAAATTACTTGCTTCGAAAAACTTAGATAAGTGAGAGGAATACTGAATACATTGAAAATTAAATTTAGACAGTGAAACCTACGTTTTATGTAGGTCATGTTTAGAATAATGTTATCTCCTTACCATTGCTTTATTTTCCCCAGTTTTATCAAATCCACTGAAGAAAAAGGAAACAGCACTGAGAACGTCACTAAGAAGAGACAAGCGATGGAGCGACGACATGTTTGGAAAAGGATGTAGATGTACCTTCCACATACATTGCCATAGTGACGAGGGATGTCGCCATCACGCCATCGGTTCACATGAGATTTATAGATGTGTATATTCCTGCTGCGGAACAAGATGTGTGCATCATCACGTTCATGTCGTTCACAACAGCAAAGAGGTTGGCGCCCCGGTGTAATTGAGAAGTAAGTAATGTTTTTAATTTCAAACAAAGTATTCACGACATTAAAATTAACTTAACTTTATGTAAAAATTTGGATTTATCCAACTTGAAACATACGTAATCGTCTTCAAAATCTTGTCCATACACAAATTCATGAACAGTAACTATTTAAGGACCAATATGAGAATAAATCCAGAATAAACTATGGATTGCCGCGTTTGTTGTTGTCTGATCAAATTTGATAACAAGATATTTTGGGGTTTAAGTATTTTTGTAAGCCTACTGCAATTAGTCATGATACGACATTTTGTATCGGCGTATTTAATTACACATGACTATGCGTATACATATCTACTTTTATTTAATTTGTAGATAAAAGATACAGAATTGGCGTTTTAGAAGATCATTCATGGACATAAAATGAAATAAGACTACATAGTTAGTGTTTTTTTTTTTTTTTTAATAAATGAGGGAGAATTCGATCAGTGAAATATATATATATGTCTCCGGCTTGGCAAATAGTCTGAAACTGCACCAAATAGCTTATGCCCCGAAATCGTGTCAATTACAGCTCACGTTTAATTAGATTTACAAATCAGTCTAGATAAGACAAATACTCTTAGATGTATAGCTTAGATTCGACAAGTTACTTTTTCGCCTCCCTTATTAATTGATTATTGTTTCCCTCACACCCAGTAGCAAATGTTTCATGCATATTCAGGAATAGGCCAAACAAAAAAAATCAGTTAGGTTTAGCTTTTGCTATGCGTGTCGAAATGGCCGCGGAATTTCGAATGTCACTGAGAAATGGAAAGTATGTTGGGTATGGACAATTGTTATGTTGAGATAGGCCACCTATCAAGAGTTGTTGAAAAGGTTCTTTAATGTACAGAGACAGTGGCACACTCCCCACACTGGGCATCGGATTTAACGGCCCCATTCAGTCCAGGTAGCAGCGTATTTAATAATCGACAAATACACCCACCTCCTACCCAGGAATAGGTTTTACTGTCGGCCTGGATAATTATCTCTTGCTAACTGTCTGAGTGTTTATGATGTTGAACACTCGTAATTGGCCAAATAAACTCTGAAACGCTCCTGATCAATCTTATCACATGAGCGATACGAAAAAATAAGTCTGTATCTACATCTACATCGTACGTTGAACTGTCAATCTTGACCAATACTCAACGCTTCCGGTTGTCGCAAGAAAAAGAGTAATTTTATAAAATAAAACCAAAAATATATAAAGCAAGGAATGATAGGAAATAATAATTGCCAGTATTTTATCAGTGCCGCAGGCTTTACTTGGGTTGCATTTGTTTAATAACTTTTTAACGCCTCCTGTTGTAACTTTAATCTCTGGCATTGGTGGATATTTTTTACCTGTTGGTATTGGTATGTCCTTGTTATCTTCCTTAGTACAGACTGATTGGTACTGTCTGTCCAAGATGTTAGCTTCGTCTATTGCGATATTGATAATCTTCCGTTGTCTTTTAGAGGGACAATCCTTGTGTTGTCCTTTTTTAATGATTTGATATAACCCCAAAAGCGTTTCTGTTTGCTGGGTTGGTCATGATGTTCATCTCCTACTTCTATGATGTTATTTATACAGTTCCAGTAGGAGTTACGCTCTGTCTTTTGTGCCATTTTTTTGCTGTCTTTGTATTTCCTTAAATCAGATGCTTGTTTTGATTTCTTCTTTCGGTTGTATAATTTGTTTCTCCTTCTTATTCCGGCTTTAACTTTTTTTATCTATCCATGGTTATCTGGTCTTGTTCCCTCTGATTGTGTTTTTGGTATATACTTCTCTATTAGTTTTATAAGACTTGTTTTGAATTTTGTCCAGATTATTTCCACTAAGAACGTTCTACTGTACTGCGTAATTATCAACACTTAGAGACATTCCAATTGCAATATACTATAGTACACATATAATCCAAATACTGCCGATTTCAATGTTAAAATTTTTATGTTTTACTTTGGCATAAATAATAAGCTACTTTTCAAATTATTAAAGTTCTATTTCACAAACGCACACGAGGGGCCTCGGTGGCCGAGTGGCCTAAGTAGTCGAACTACTGTATCACTAGCCAGTCGACACTGAGGTTGTGAGTTCGAATCCCGCACGGGGCAGGTGCACTCGACTCCAATCTTAATCAGTGACTAGGATTGTCAGTTTTCCTACCGAAGGTCGGTGGTTCTCTCCGGACAATCCGGCTTCCTACACCAATAAAAACTGACCGCCACGAAATAGCACAATAGTGTTGAAAGTGGCGTTAATCAATCACAAACACACACGTACATGTATGGTCACAATAAATCCAGAGAACAATTAACTGTAAAAACTAATATATAAACCAAATACGGACTGTATTCCGCAATACGCAAAACCCAATAACTTGTTAAGGAGAGATAAACATATGTTAACTTAACCAAACGTCTTGACCTTACCAAACTGACCTATAACACCCCCCCCCCCCCCGAGCAAATAAAAAAACCCAGTTTGTTTTTAATGGTCAAGGCGCTTTGGTCATTTAAAAAAAATCAAAAATCCAATACTTTCATAAACAAGCATGCCTAATTACGTCTTCAATCTATTATACAATCTACTATCAAATGTATGCATACATGCTTTACTCAAAAATCACTATCTACTGCACATTCAACTATAAAATTGGTATACAGAGCAAACTTTTATAAATGATGGCACCAGCAGAGAACTTGGCTCTTATTAAATGAAAATACAACTAAAGCAACACATTGATCAGATACACTGCCTCTACAAATATAACCATAAAAAATAGGTTTGTTTCTGGTATTGTTCACCAAATCCGTCATTACAAATGACAACACTGTTGCTCATGAAAATGCAGTATTTTTCTCTTTAATTGCTTTTTTAAATGCAATTATTTGCTGTTTACCAAACTTAATAAAATACTATTCATTTAAAAGCAAACTCACTGTCCTTTCCTCGATCTTGATATCTATATCATTAACGGGAAGCTTAATACAAAAATTTATGATAAAAGAGATGATTTTTCATTTCCTATCGTTAATTATCCATTTTTAGATGGTGACGTTCCCTTGTCACCATCTTATGGTGTTTATATATCTCAACTTGTACGATTCGCTCGTGTATATATGTAACAACGTATTAGATTTTAGCGAGAGAAATTGATGTATTACTGAAAAATTATTACACCAGGGTTTTCGATATCATAAACTAGTCAAAACATTTACTAAATTTTATCATCGGTATAAGGACATCATTCGTAAATATAACTCAACATGCAGACATCTTATACGTTCGGGTATTTCACATCCAATCTTTTATGGTAATATTCTTTACAAAGCACAAAAATGTCAGTATTCACCTCAAAAGCTAACAAAACCTTTAAACAGACTTATCAAGAAGGGATATAGTTACGATACTGATGTCAGGTCATTAAAGATTGCATATTTTGGCTTTAATATTGATTCACTTATAGGGTCTTTGCATCGGAATTAAACATATTTATTCTAAAACCAGTTGTTGGCATGACACGGGTTATGTTCTTCTCATATATTTTATGATGGTATAATACTAAACCCCTAACAGGAGGGATTGTGCCTGATATTCATATGATGAAGACATAATCTTTCAATCAGTTTAATTGAGGTCTGGAGCTGGCATGTCAGTAACTGCTAGTAGTCTGTTGTTATTTATGTATTATTGTCATTTTGTTTATTTTCTTTTGTTTCCTATTCTGACATCGGACTCGGACTTCTCTTAAACTGAGTTTTACTGTGCGTACTGTTGTACGTTTGTTTTTTCCACATTGGCTAGAGGTATAGGGGGAGGGTTGAGATATCAAAAACATGTTTAACCCCGCCGCATTTTTGCGCCTGTCCCAAATCAGGAGCCTCTGGCCTTTGTTAGTCTTGTATCATTTTTAATTTTAGTTTCTTGTGTATAATTTGGCGTTTAGTATGACGTCCATTATCACTGAACTAGTATACATATTTGTTTAGGGGCCAGCTGAAGGACGCCTCCGAGTGCGGGAGTTTCTCGCTGCATTGAAGACCCATTGGTGGCCTTCGGCTGTTGTCTGCTCTATGGTCGGGTTGTTGTCTCTTTGACACATTCCCCATTTCCATTCTCAATTTTATCTAAAATATAATTTAACATTCAGCAAAATGAATTACTGAAATTAGAAACTTTTCTGCTTAATTTACTTTACTACTCTCAAATTGTAAGACTGAAAAATATACAATCAAGAATAAAATTTCAACAAAAAATTCAATAACAATTACTTGAAAAAAAAATCCTTTGAAAACTGCTATCAAAACATAAATAAAAATTCTCTTGATATTTTGTATCAAATAAACACTTATTACAGATTAATAATAAAACAAATCTATTCAGATCAAAACGTACATCTTTCCGCCAAACTGACATCCATTGCACTGTCAAGTACTTTCTCACAACAATTTTTCACTTTCTATATATCAAAATGATAGACGTATATATACACATTAAACATAAAATTACTTTTAGACATATTACACCAAAATATTGTTCTTTTAAGAAAACAGACGGAAATACAATCATTTCCCGAATAGTCCAATATTTAATATTTAGTTCTTCAAATGTTTCCAGAATGTTCTACCCTTCACAAAATTAACATCTGTGTAATACGATAAAAAAAAATACATTTACCACTTTTTAGTATTCATGACAAACAAATCAATATTGTCATAAAACACAAATAAACAATGTATTCATAAACATCACTAGTCTACACATGGCGGTGGCTTTGACTGGACAATCTGTTGTGTATGCGAATTTAACTGGTATCCATGAGTTATTTTGTGCTGGTTCACCTTAAATTGCACACAATATTCTGTTTCCATTTCTTTTACTTTGAGATAATATTCGCTTCACTTTATAATAAGCGTCTGACTGTGTTGTAACTTCATCGGAAGAGTTTGTATCAGAAGATGAACTTTGAAAACGTACAGGACGTGTGTGATTTCGTGTAAAACGAAGCACAATCGGTTGAGTCTGTTGAGATTGTAAGGGTGAGATATATTCTGTCTCACTGTCTGAAGTATGATAATCTGGTTCACGATTAATTTTGGATGTGTGCACTTCTGAGTAAAAGTAGACTGACGGTTCGGGTGCACGAACATATGCTACTTAGTCTCTATTTAGATAAGCATCATTTTTTTAAACTTTTCCGGTAGACGGCTCTCTAAGATTCACAAAGTGAGGTGACTTAATAGGGTGCACAATAAAGGGTCCACTATATTTTGGTTGAAACTTGCGGCCTGGCCCGTTCGGGTCTTTAAGCATATAAACATAGTCTCCAACAATTAACTGCAACGGGTTTGTCTTTTTATTGTAGCGATCCATCATCAATTCTCCTGATCTGATCGTTGTGCATTTGTTTGAATCTCCTCCCTAATTATATCAATCTTTTTGGCCGGTTTTTCTACA